TTCCGATGACTTTGGTCTTCCCCACTTTTGGTCCGGGCCTGGCCGCCGTTCACATATGTATAGGCAGTCCCAGTTGCATGCAAAGCGATTCTGTTGCTTGTAGAAACAGCAGACCGTTGAAGCGGCGAGAGCGCACTAGACAAAGAAGACGTGCACATTTGCAATTTTGCGAACATCCGAGACATTGAACTTTTGGGATTTTCTAACACCCGCCAACATTCTCGCCCTTAGAACTCAAAAGATGTCTAGAAGATACTTTTGCAAGAAACGCTCAGCCGATAAGGAAGACAGATACATTGATTGACGCGTATCTGTCTTCCTTACCTGCAGAGCGCTTCTGAAGGAAGAAGTGAGCAAAGTAGAGCAAGCGGTGTGGTACAATCGCTTGAGTACGACTCCCCCCTTTCAAATGTCTCAAAAGAGCACCTATAACCCTACCGTTTTCCTACCGCAAACCCAAGAAAGAGGCCCTATCAAGAATAATGAGCTTCACCTCATCTACCGTGTCAAAAAACTCTTTAGGACCAAGTTTCAGCAATTTTTGGAGTTTTAAATACTAGCAATACTAGTAATACAATATAGAGCTGATTAGTTGAAACGTTCACTCAGAAATTTCAACATTGTCTTTAAGGTGAGTTATAAGCCGTCCGCGCTGCATTGCGGGAGCAGTGCTGTTGCGTCTACCGAATATACTCCAAGACCGAAAGAGGCGCGGAGGAAAAAAAGCAGCTAGAGTGCAGGAGAAAATAGGAGTGACGCGCGGTACACAACTCGCAGGGAGATCTTCACTGAAGTCCGAGAAACTAACAACATAATGTCCCCTCCATATTTGCGGCTAACCTTGGTCTGTGTCTCACACCTGCCACCTGTGGCAACAACATTTCGCAACATGCAGCAACATATTGGCAGAACATTTTGGCCACGCCAACATGTTGCTGCATGTTGCCAACGCGTCACACATGGCACGTCCGCGACGCCAAAGGTAGCAGCAAATGTGGAAGGGACGAGACCTATCTGTTACTATGTTATGAAAGAACTTATCAAGTTACGAACCCCTGAATCTACAGGTTCTGCCCTGTTCACGGTAGAATCGAATACGAGTAAGTCCTCGAGCATAGTCTACGCAATTTCATCGTCTCGCGATCTTCCCAACTGTTGTGCAGCAGCACAAGAAACCAATGCTCGAGAAGAATGAATGAATATGTTGACGTGTTGTTCATGATATGTGATATATTCCTGTGCATTATATATAGGCATTCCTTAGTAAGTATAGTTCATTCTTAGTTCCTTGTCGTCAAGTAAAGGACTCGGTCTCCAATCGTCTTCCTACACACGCCATGGCAAACACAACAACTGGCGATCAGACCCCGAACCCGAGCCCGAACCCGACCCCCAACATGGACCCAACCCACCTTCTGATGCTGCAAATCATGGAGCTGCGGAAAGAAGTAAAGAAGAAACAAGGATCCAGCGAGGATTACGTTGTGAATGCACTCGCTACTCGTCTACCAGAATTCGATCAGGACCCGAACTCAAGCTCGGACACGGACACGATCCAACTTCTAATGAAGCAAATCATGGAACTGTGGAAGTCTTGTCGAGAACCCATAACTGACGAAGCAAGAATCCAACGAAGAGTACAAAGACTACTTGGAACTGCAGGATCACATACAGATGATCGACAAAGCCAAGGTACCTCAGGTCAGCGTGAATCAGATAAACGACAACCCGCAAGTCAACGCGATGCAGCGAGACGAGAAGCGGAAGCCATTCATCGGTCACAAGCCCAGAACATATCTTTGTATGAACTGCGGAGCGAAGACCCATAGGACCAGGAAGTGCGAGAAGCCGATCACTGAATGCAACTACTGCAAGAAGCGTGGACATCTAGAGAGGTACTGTCTACGTAAACTATTTGTCGATGAAGCCAAGGACGTCCATCCTGTCGTCATCTCACCGCCTAAAGAAACGAAGTCGTACTGCGGTGTGAAAACCAACAACACAAGTATCGAGTTACGACTTGACTGTGGAGCTGAAGATCGCGACACATGGATCAAGACTGGCCGACACAAGCTAAAGAACCCGAAACATAATTTGACTGCTGCTAATGGGACCAGCATTACATGCCATGGACACGGCACATGTGAGCATGCGCTAAATGGCATCGCTTTGAATGGTACCACAAATGCACTTGATGGACCAGCTCTACTTGAAGTGCATTGGAACCAGAGCGACTGTGCCTTTCACAGTGATATCGGCTGTCACAATTTGAATGCAGTGACCGCTACGAACGATACACTTAACAAGAAGCAAACTCACCTGACAACACAGTTCGCAGAAGTATTTCAACCGAAAACAGAAGACGGCACGAAAGCAACGGCTGCCTTTGTGCTCGAAAAAGAGGATGAGAGCAAGATATTCGGCAAAACCCGCTCAAAATCCAGTCAATTTGGAAGTGCCGAGGTACCTGTTTCTTATGATATTACTCAATTCAGGACAGCCGAAATCCGCTATTCTGGAAAAGCCAGACAATTTCGACTTACTCGCCATCAGCAGTTCAATGAACAGGCCGAAAGAATCGTCGACAACTTCCACTCAGACAATCGCCGGGGGCAGGCGGGTATCGGAAAAATAGATTGCTGATCTCTCGCACCCCGCTCGCGGATTTTTTGGAAAACAATCAGGACTTTTCGGAAGACCGCTTGCTGAGTTCTCGATTCCTCAGAGATTCAGCAATATATCTGCAAAAGATAAGAGCGAAAAAAAATTCAACAGGCGGTCTCTCAAAAATCCGCTGACTCAGCAAGCGGTCTTCCGAAAAGTCCTGCTTGCTTTGCAAGAAATCCGCGAGCGGGGTGCGAGAAATCAGCAATCTATTTTTCCGGTGCCCGCCTGCCCCCAGCGATTGCCTGAGCAGTGCCTAGTATCCAAACCGAAAAGGGAGGAGACGTTAACCGAGGCAGTGCAAAAGTTTCCCATGCACTGTCGCGATATATCAAGCCCAACTTTGGATGAATGCTCCTTTGGTGAGATGTTCACTGAATACGAAGTTTATATCGCTCCAGGTCCACTGTACTCGGCCAACGAGAAACATAAAGTGCAACCTAAGAAGATGAAGTGTCAACTCAATTCTCAGCGCGGAAAGGACCCACCGCTTCACTCAGAAGGGGAGGTGTTGTGCAGCCGCACAAGAAACCAATGCTCGAGAAGAATGAACGAATATGTTGACGTGTTGTTTATGATATGTGATATAGTTGTGTGCACTATATATAGGCATTCCTTAGTAAGTATAGTTCATTCTTAGTTCCTTGTCGTCAAGTAAAGGACTCGGTCTCCAATCGTCTTCCTACACACGCCATGGCAAACACAACACCAACCATAAGACTGTTGCGAGTCCACCCACTGCATACCGATTATCTTGCATTTTGGTTGTGATAGTTTTCCGACACGACTGATCCTGACTAGCTACCACAAACCAGAATCGAAGGAGGTCGACATGCAGTGGACTCGTAACACTTGTCTCTTCGAAAGAACCGCGAGGCGACGTAAGACAAAATCGCGTAAACTATGCGAGGGCCCAATGATGAAACGCCGACAGAAACGCTGATAATGTAGAGGGAGAGCAATTAGCGTTCAGTCATAAGTTACCGGGTTCAAATCCCGCGGAATGCATCACTTTTGCGTTCTCTGCAGATTTTCTTATTTATTTCAGAATCATCTCAGATAGCGAATATCGGTATTATTCGTTATATTCGTGTTTCAAAACACATCTTCGCCGCATAATTAATCACAGTCATTTTTACAAAGAGCAAAAATTGTGGGTAGAGCGGTCTGTAACTCCTTCACAAGAGCATTTTGCAGTTTTGGAAAGCGAATATAGTTAGGTGTGTCAAGAAGAACGATAGTGATGTATGTAAATACATGTCCTTGCTAATGCCGATGCAGCTCAGTTATCCTTTACTCGTCAGACAAATGAACACGAACTCAAATCACTTCTATGAAAACTACGAGGCTTACATATGATAGTCTGAATCTCGCAGTTTGCACAGAAATGAATTGAGCCTGATTCCTAAACTCGGTGGTCGCTAAAAGAATAACCCCTGAGATTGGATGAAAAGAGAGGACTGGAGGGAGTCAAGAGCGGAAAAAGAGCAGACAAATTGACAGTAGACGTGATGCGTCTTTCGCGACGCGAGCTCCCCCATGCCGATTTGGTCTGATTGGCATCGGGACAGACTGTAGATATAGTGAGGCAACGAAGTAAAGGAAAACAAGGTATTTTGGCAAAACCAAAGAAAATATGGCATTCTGAGCAGTAAATCATCTCCACGAGGGTAAACTTGTGCTATTATGTAAAAACTAAGGAAGAAGAGAGCATGCGAATGGCGAAGAATGCTACAAATTGTGAGGGGGGGGGAGCATGAAAAACTTGGTCTCAGCATTCGGAGGCTGCGCTTCGTGCGAGGCTTTTAGACTGCTTGGGACAAAATTTCATGTAGATACGTACCTAAGGGCCGTATCGCCTTATTTAGCTCTCAAAAAACTTAAAATGCAGCTCAAAATATGCAAAACTACGCATCTGCTAATTTGCTCTTCCTCAAGAAGAAGGGCATGCTTATCTTGCCGATTTCGCTCATGCTACCTTCTTCCTAGGTTCACATATGAAAGCTCGAGTTAATAAATGAATCTCAGGCACAAGTTATCATCATCTAGCCAGTGCCAGCGAACAGAGGAGTGTGTGTAATATTGCGCAGCAAGTGCATACGCATTCTTGCAGAAGGCAATGAGGACGCGGTGCTCAACAATGGCAAATTTCCATCTTTTGTCGTTTCTTTTTCTAAGTTCCCTGAACAGATTGCTTTCCTTTTCTTGTTTTGGTCCCACGTGAAAATTTATGTGTCTTTTAGTTGCCTTTTTTCAAACAGTCGTAGAAAACCAGCAGTTTTTCGAGATCTCTCGCGATCGTTTCTATTTGAACTGAACTGATTTCTTTTTTACACAGACATGCCGTCGGCTGCTAAAACCAAAAGTGGCAGAATTTTCCGAGCTCCCACTGATCAGGTTCGTGTCTTGTGAGCATGCATTTTATAATATTCCATTACTTCATAATTTAGGCAAGAAAACTCGAGCGAAGGCGAGAAAATAAGAAAAACAAACGAGATCGGCAGCAAATTCGACAAACCATCGCCAAATGCTATGATGTGGATGATTCCACGACCAAGATGTTGGCAATCGAAAGACAGAGTGAGTTTTTGGACGATTGGTTTTCTAAATGATCATTTACATCATTCTTCTCGGTTTTCACATCGTTTACTTCTGTAATATAATCTGTTTGACTTCAGTTCTTGGTCTTGATAAGCCTCAGTTCCACATTGATGTCTTGAAGAAAAAGCAAAGGGTAAGTAATTGTTTACTGAGTCACCCATGAGCTTCGAATGCATGTTTATATCAAAACAGCGATATACATTGGCTCTTTTCGGAACATTGTCTTTTCTAAGAAGTCTCAAAAGTTTCGAAGATTTCACGCAAAGCACATCATATTCTGTTGCATGTTTAGACCATCATGGATATGGTCAACAAAAGGCGATCCGTACTGCAAACGTTGAAAGACGAGAAGGAACTCAAGGAATTGAATGAGAAGCTCCAGCATTACTACGCAGATTGTAAGAAGTTGCAAGCACTTGCAGGTCAAAGACACTTATTCACTTACTGAAAGAATTCTCAGTTATGCGTTTACAGAACAAGAACGATTGGCTCGTAATGCTGATATCAACTTTATCCCTCTACCTGAAGGTGAAGTGGCTGAGGGTGAAATTCGAAGAGTGCAGCTGATGGGACCGCAGCCATCTGCACCAGTCAAGTAAGTCCTGACATTTTGAATATGTGATTCTTTACAACTCCATACTCCATTTTCTTCTTCTTTCTTTTTTTCGAGTTAACGTTTTTTGGTTTTCTTCTCTTCTTCCTTGAATGTGGGATTTACTTATTGCTTTTCTGACATCATGTTTGATTCATCTCTTCTGCGAAGTTTCCCATAATGTTCAAGCAAAGATCTATCTCTTTTGATCAACATCTATTTTACCTCCTTATTTTGTCAAATACCCTACAGAACCATTATATTTTAGAAAGAAGGTCGAGTTCAAACTGCCTCGAGGCGGACCGCGCCGTCAAGGTCTTCGTCCTCCTGGTCCTCCCTGTGGTATACCTCCTGATCTTAGCGATAGCGAAGGAGAAGGCGATGATCCCTATCACGTTCCGATACCCGCAGATGATGACCTTGCACCTGTTATTAGTATGTTTTTCGACATATGTTCTTTGCTTACACATACTTTTGAATTTTAATTTTTCAGTTCCCGACTTCGATGGACCGAATAAGTTCCCCAAATTTCCTCCCGTTCTACCTTTGCGGCAACGTGAGTTACAACGTCTACGTTTTCATCGTAATATACACGTTTCAGCTCCTGGTCCTCCTCCTCTTGGTCCCGTTCCACCTAGATTCAATCCTATGGGCATTCCTATGCCGCCAATACCTACAGCACCAGACCGTGAGTATTGTTCGAGTTTTTTGCTGTTTCCTCCATACTTCACTGTCATCCTCTTACAAGGGAAGGATATCAACAGTAGTCGGCGAAGTAGACGCGCTTCTAAACGCTGCCGAAATCTGCTTTCCTTTTTTGCGGAACAAGTTTTTGAAAGAAGTTATGGGCGTTGAATGTCCAAATATGGCAAGGTTCAGTTGGCCTAAAATTTACGAAAAGGTACAAAAACACCGGAAAGTGGAAAATCAGTTTTTTATTGAGTATATTGTTTGCAAGGAAGGAACAAAGCTGGTGGAGATCGCATAGGTATTGTTTTGGAGCTTTTTATTGATTTCAAGCCACTCAATGCTTGGCAAGTTTGGACGTTCAAACGCTCATACCTTCTTTCGGAAACCTATTCCGCAGAAAAGGAAAGCAGATTTGGAATCAGCGTTCATAGGCGCGTTTGATAATATACATTCCATCCCATCTTCAATCGCCGACTATTATTGGTATCCTTCCCTTATTAGCACATATTTCCAGCGAGCGCTGTTATTTCGTCGGCTCCCGTGATTCGACGCGACCGTGAAGCACCTGTGATAGGACCTCAAGCACCTACAGTTGTTTCTGCTGCACCACAGCTTAGGAACTTGCGAAAGGAAACTGTTAAGGTAAGCTTTGATTTTCAAATGGAGTTATATTGCTTAAATTGTGCTTCTTGAGAATAAATCGCCCTTGGGAGGCAAAAGTAGTTAGATAGTAGAAAATAGCTGGAACATGCTTATTGAATAGCCTTGCGATTTATGATGTGCGTTAGGCACTAGCGTTTCGTCTCCGTGTTTCTGATTGTCTTTTGAAATCAAAAATCAGTATACGGTTTTGTTTGGATTCAGCTGAATTATGCAAAACATGGTCAATTAACAGTGATCTTAGAAATTGGTTTTAGGGTCAAATTTCTTTGTTTTTTCCTTGTCATATAGTCAGTGTCACACTAACAGTTGTAATGTCTTGCCAAATCTGCGTTATGAAAACATGGCTTGATAGTGCATAAATGGAAGAATTGCAAATGTGTGACCATCATTGTAGTCAGAGTGTAAATTAAGCGTATCTGTGTTGCTCATGATCGTGTCACCGTTTTTCTTCTAGCTTGTGCCCGTTGTTCTCAAACGTAAGCCTGCTGGTGTACGGCCCAAACCTGCCATTCGTCGACCACAGACAGAAGCAACTCAGCAAGCGAAGACCACCGACGAGGCATACAATGAGTTTATGAAAGAATTAGCAGATCTCATTTGATGATATATGATATTTATGATTGTCCAGGAATATGTGTACTGTGTACTTTTGAGTTTTCGTTGTTATAAATTTCTCACGTAACTCAGTCTGTTTTGTCTATATCGTAAAAATCCCTTGAAAAAAAAAGATTATGGAAACAAGTTTTTTAGATTTGCATGATAGCAATCGATGATTGATTTGTGCACAGGGTCCGGCACGTGGGTGGCAAACGGACACCTGTGAAACAAATTTCCTTTGCCACTTGCCATTTTTACCTTCTTACTTGATGGCGCCAGCCGCGTGGATTGTTCAATTGGAGCGCACTTTCTTCTTCAAGAAACACGCTCGTTGCTATTCTGGATCCTAACAAAGAGTAGAGGTTTTAAAATCAAAGGTTACTACATGGTAAACTTCAGGTGCAGAGCGGGTTTACGTAGGCATTCTGAGAAACACGTAAAGTGGAAGTTATGTTTACCTCAGGTGGATATTAGGTGGGCAAATGATCACTTATGTAAAAAAGGTGGGCACGCTCTTCATTCACATTAGTTTATCATATATATTCATACTTTGTTCTTCAGACACACTACGTATACCTACCATATTTCGTGCCATATCGGCATGAGTGCGTTTCGAGCGAACGAGTGATTTTCCCATTTTCTGGCAGTGGGAAATTTTTGGGAAAGAAGCTTGTCCCAACCTTTATAATTTATCCATAACTTTTTGCACCATGCTCCTCCTCACTCTTGTCAGGGCCCGACAGGAGGTGGGCAAATGACAAGCTGGAAATCGTTTTGGGGCCAAAAAGCAAAGGGGATATCGTTTTTGCGGGATCCGAGGCGGAGCTACGGAAGAAGATTCCAAGTGCAAGCAAAAGAAGGTCGGATCATGCTCACCTTATACGTCTAATTTATCGGAAAATAGTTTTCATAAACCTCAACGCACAGCAGACTTTGCGCGCACTACGGCTCCCGCCAGAGTGCCAAAGTTATGCCAGCGCTACGCCAGCATTTCGATCGATACACGTGTATTTCGTTGGGGACATCTACCTGCTGAGCTAGTTCCGCCCCAACGAAATACACGTGTATCGATCGAAATGCTGGCGTAGCGCTGGCATAACTTCGGCACTCTGGCGGGAGCCTACGCTGCGTTGCCGCTAATTGCCGCGTGCGCGACGTCGCATGAGCGATGCCGTTGAACAGCATGATTACATGATCAGTTCTCAATGCAGGCGTAATGATATCGCACCAAATTACGTAAGCGAACAAAGAGAGGCAAGTAGAAACAAAGCATGAAATGCTGTGAAAAACTTATGTGAATGGGAGGTGAATAAGCATTTTTTCCAAAAATTTCGCAGAACTGGTAAATGAAGATGTGAATTCAAATGGCTCGTTTGCAGCGCACAGATGACCATACGGTATGAAACTTGGTTACATGAAGACCATACGGTATGAAACTTGATTACATGAAGACCATACGGTATGAAACTTGGTTACATGAAGACGGGCCTGCAGGGCTTATCTTAGAAGTTTTATCGAAAAATTATGGGAATGAAGGTTGTGGCAAGCTTTTTTCTGAAAATTTCCCACTATCAAGAAAATGGAAAAATGGCTTATTTGCAGCGCAGAGAAAACGAAATCGCGTGAGACTTGGTGTGTATACGCGCAGTAGGACTAAGGAACAATGTATGAAAAATTATGAAAAACTTATGTGAATGAAGAGCGTGCTTAACTTTTTTCCAAATTAGGTGGGCAATTGCCCACCTAATGCCCGCCTGAGGTGGGCAAAACTTTCAATTCACATATTTTTTTCAAAATTTTTACATAAATCTATTGTTCACCTAAAGTTTACTATATGGTGAGATTTTGGTTCCGAAACTCCTCCTCTTGTCTTCGTTAGAGCCCAAAATCGCATCAGCAGCCTAGCTTTCTAAGATGGAAAGCGCGCCCCAGTCAATCGATACGCGCGGGAACGGCGTCTCTCAATCCTATGACTGCGTTCCTTTGATATTTTTTCATTCCTTCATCATGTTTCTTGCTTATTCTTCTTCCTGTTTTCTATCTTGATACAGGTGAGGAGTAATTAAAGGAACTTGAGCAGTTTGGGCGCTTTTGAGCGCTTTTAGGCGAAGTGTGGCCGGTGCTCTCGTTCCACAAGCACAAAGCGTCATTTTTGGGCTCAATTGGGTATTCGTAAAAACTATTGGGGTCAAAGGGGAATTCGTTTTGGAAAACCCCGTCTGCCCACTTCGTGCCGGGCCCTGACTCTTGTTCTTCTTGCTCCAAATTCGTAGTCAATCGTCTTGTATGTACTGCAAACGAGGTATCGTCTCTTCGGACCGCAAGGACGGCTCAAAAGGTGCGGCTCACGCGCGCGTGGTTGAAATGTTGCTAGAGCACGGTTTGTACAGTGGCGAATCTGTATCGGGGCAAGCTTTTGACTTCGCGGTGCGTGCTTCCTAGGAATATCCGGTCCGAATGGACTACGAATAGACGATAATTAATTACCTTTTTGGAAAATTTGGGGTCTTTGAAGGTGACGCACGAGTTGATTATGTTTTTTGCATGACTTGTCGGGAAACTGTATATACATGCAAAGGTATATTTTATACCCTTTGCTTCCTGAAAGGATATCCAACTTGACATTTTCCGTCCTCGAGCTGGGCCCTGTTTGTGCATGCTGATAAGGTGTTGATGTGAAAAGGTTTATTTTCTAGGTGTAGACCGTGTGTTCAAAGCGCAGTGCATCTCTTCTATCAATGATAAGTGGCAGTTTCATAGACACTGTACGTAACAGCATTGCCTCCCGTGTGATTTCAAATTTTATTTCCGTGAAAATTATAAAAATCTAGTCTTTGTATGCTTTTTTCCTTAATTTCTATTTTGCCTTTCTCTCATCGCACTCTTTCCCCAGCTCTATAGATCAAGTGTATTCTAACGAAGGCTGAGCACTAATTTAAATCCAGGAAGTTATGAAGAAGTTATGGATAGGTATCGATTGAGAATCGTTGTTTTAAGAAGTGTCTGTAATGATTCAGATTTTGGCGTGATCATCTTAATGGTATGTTTAATAAATCTCTTTTTTTCACTCACTTGCAATCGCGAACAATTTGTGCTTTCAATTAAGCGATTGTCTAAATGGATTACATTTGTTGACATTCTTGTTTGACGTCAAATGGCATTTTACAGCGGTTATGATATTTCCATATACATTAACTATCCATTTTGGCTCCATAACTTTGGAAGAGAGCACAAAGTACGGCGCAAATCCTTGTCGGCTATATAAGCGCGACGAATTATATATTGCTATTCATTCAGTCATCTTGAACTAGGTCTTGCTTCTTGATGTGGCTAACAAATAGCCTCCATAGTTGAGGTTCCTCTTCACCCTGTCGTCAAGTTTTTAAATAGGTTCTTCAGTAAACATTGAGCATGTAGTCCAAAGGGAGTAGCTCGTGAAAATTGCAACCCAAGCTTTCCATTCCTCCTTGGCCTTCTGAATGCGCTAAGTCCAGGGCTGTGCTTGAGAAGTCGAAGAAATGCTTTTCAGGTTTTCCAGTCTTGAAGATTGCTGGAGGGAATGGGCAAGCGATCGCCAAATGAGTCGCGATTGGCTGCCTAAGCCAATCAGCCAATTGCCGCCAAAATGGGTGGAGTTACAGTATCCTGCAGCCAGTCACTGTTTTTGGCGAATCGCTAGTCCAGCCCCCTCAATCCCCAAGGTCGGAAAACGCTAAAAAGCACTTTTTTTAGCTTTTCTAGCACAGCCTCGAACATAGCGGATCAGAAGGCCATGTAGATGCGGAAAGCTTGCACCCCCAGTTTTCCGACCCACTGCCTTTAAAGGACAAGTACTGTCGTTCTTGGATGTTATGGAGTACTACCAGAGAAATTAGACAGCAAAGGTAGCAAAGGTAATACTATCGGCAACGTCCGTACCTTTCTTGAAAGCAGTGTCCAGACACCTTGTCCAGAATATGTGCGTGGAAGGGGGGGGGGGAGAAGAAGAGGAGGAGGGCTCGCTATAGCTTTCGTTATATTTTTCAACCCTCGAAAAGGATAAACATGCATGATTTATCTTCAATGTTCCATTTTACTAACTTTACAATTATCTTAGGCTTTCGGCTAACAGTTGTAATTTATGAGAGACTTGCCGGTGTTGAGTTAGTTATAGTTCATTTATAAAATCGTGACGACGGATTTTACTGCGGACTTTGCGCCCACATGCGTATAAAACGCTGATACAAGAAGGCATCACCTCAACGCTCAGCTCAGTCACTTCCAGTGTCTAAATATTATTATAAGTAAGCAAAAAAACTATCCGACTTGAGATGAAAACGAAGAAAATGCGATTTCCGGAAGTGGCGTGCGTGTCGCGCGCGGTCGCGCCGTCGTCACGATTTTTCAAATACCCTATACCTTACCAAGACAGATATGGTATTTTCAGTATCTTAGAGTTCGCATTATGTTTTGATCTTTCGAAATATTAAAAACCAGAAAGACTTTACAGCGAAAATTTAAGGCATCTTTAGTAAGTACTAGCTGGCTTACCCGGCTCCGCCGTATGTTCCGAATAGAAAATTCCATTTCTCTACCGATCCGGACCAAACTTGGCACACATACACTTCGGGCCGTGGCAGGTGTTATAGGCTACTTTTCGTCATCGATCGATATCGATTTTATCGATTTTCTGCAAAATTTGAGCTACGAGGCTGGGAGTTGGCACAGGGGGGTAATCGAGCATGCTGATCACCCCACGTTGGTCCCGATCGTTTCAGAAATGGAACATTCTATTCGGAACATACGTACATACAGACATACATACAGACATACATACAAACATACATACAAACAGACATTCAGCTTTATATATAAGAATAGTGCCAAGTCTTAGGAGGTGCTAGCGAAGCTGCCGAATGGAGCCATCAGATTCAATTGACGAAAGGAAGCTTTGCACTGCATTTTATAATGTATTTTACAACATTAAATACTCCAACGCACCCTAGTCACTACCAGTACTCAACCATTCTGTTAGTTCTAGCGCCGTCATTTATTGCAAATTCATAGAAAGTGAATTTTGTAGAGGCCATTTTTGCAATTGCATAACGCGCGAGCAGTGCGGGAACAAGGACTCACTTTGTTTCTAGTTTTAGGATGTATTTTAGGCCTCGGGCAGAGTGCACGCGATTTGATAATCGCGATTGATCGCGATAAGACAACTGTAACAGTATCATTGCACGCCAGTGGCGTGCCCAGGATTTCGGCTCGGGGGGGGGGGGCGACAAAAATTTTTTTTCGATGAAGGTGCGTGGCGTCAGCCACGCACTCCGAAAATTTTTTTGGCATGCTCCCTAAAATTTTCGCGGCCACGGAACCTCGAAATTTCAGGAAAAAGGGGCGTGGCGTCAGCCACGCTTCCGGAAAAAATTATTTTATAAGGCTAAAATGAATTTTTAAAATTTTTTAAAAATTATTTTAATTATTTACAAGTACAGACAAGTCACTTGCGCATTTTTATAACTCATGTAAGTAACTCTCAAAAATGTTGCGACCCCTTCTCGGGGGGGGGGGGGGGTGGGGGAGCGCCGCCCCCCCCCTCTCCCTCTACCCCTCGGTACGCCACTATTGCACGCAGATCTTCTTGCATTTCGGTTGTGATAGTTTCCCAACACGTAATCGTGACTAACTATCACAATCGAAATACAAGAAGATCGGCATGCAATGAACTCGTAACACTTGTCTTGTAGCGATTGAAACGCGACGATCAAATCGCGTAAACTCTGCCCGAGGCCTTAGACAGCTTTTAGACAACACCTAACTGTGCCGAACACTATATTAACCGTTAAATACAGATCCCAAATGATTGTATTGAATTTTTGATTTTTAACAATTTTCTTGTGTGAAAAGCTTCCACGCTCTTTCAACCGTACTGGAGGACTGGCTTTAGCTTACATTTGCAACATATTAAGCAAAACATTGATCGGCTCATCACTGTAAGTATAGGGTAGGGACTTCCAAACAGCGCCAATGTGGAATAGCCGTGGTTTAGAAAGTTTTGAAAAATTAAAAGATGATAACATTTTTTACATTTTTTTCAAAGCTTTATTAGTGGTGTAATCAGCTTTTGAGGAACACTGAAAATACTGATGCTACGGTATAGGGGGAGACGGTCAAGAGGCGCGATTTTTCTGGCTGTCACCAACTTAGAATCCATTTCTGTACTACGCGAATTTTCAAAAAATTCCAGACAAAGTCTCTTAGCTCACTAGTTATTCGAAGTTACCATCTTCCAAGTTTCACGGCTTTTGGTGCAAAAATGAGCGAAATATTTACGAAATTGCCATTATTTGCGTTTTCATGAATTTTGACCTCCAATGCTTCTGTTTTGGATCTTTTTTTGAGACGATAGGATCAGAAACCCTATATAACGATCTTGTATAATCTCTCAGGAATTTATAAGGCCCCTAGAACATTATTAAACACTAAAGTGTGCAATCTGATGTCCAGCTGGCAATAAAAAAACGCGCCTCTTAACATACACCCCGGTATAGGCAAGACTTACGAAGAAAGCATCAGTTTGAAGTGCAAAGCTAACATCTCGTCAACAGTTCTGACTGCCTTATTGCACAGAGTTTTTAGGCTGTTTGGACCTTCTTCTTGGCAAAATAGGACCTTTAGTGGCTCAGAACCTTTTTCAAGTTTCCTATGGTTATTTAATTGTTTATAGTAATGAAGAGAGATACGTTTCCGTGTTTTAAAACTGTGAAAGTTTTTCTTCCTGAGAGATTCAAAATTAACAGCTCGATACACTTTCCAAAGGAGCTTGCATTTTCAATAATTCCTCAAGCAGTAGTAGAACCATTGAAGTGTAGTGCATGAGCCCTAAGCTAAGCTTCAATTATCAGATTTGCTAAAATGGTAAAGGAGTGAGTGAAACTACTGTCACTTCTACACTTTTAAATTCTACTAAACTCTTAAGCGTCAAAAATCATTTATGATTTGTCCTTTCATGAATGCACGTAGGTTTATGAGATTGGGTGAGTGTCCTCGTCATCCTTTTAGAAACAAAATATTTGTCCCTAATGATTTCAAAGAAATCAAGCTTAGAACACCTCGAATAATAATAATAGCAAGATTAGGCATTGGAGAATAATTTGCGTCACATTACAACTATGCTTCCTCTTTGTGTAAGTTGACCATCTTTTGACATCTTTGTGCACGATGTAATACTTCCGTATTTGATTTTGAGCATGCTGGTAAACACGGCAAAATAAATTGTTTTCAGATGTACCTAGCAAAAATCAACAGCCTGTACCTCATAATAGTAAGTAGTGAACTTCTTCTTGCCTCCAATAAGTTAAAGAGAAAAGAATGTCGCTTTTTATTTCAGAGTCATGTCATCGTAACAGGCAAACCCCAAAGAAGTAAATACAGAGTGTCCCAAGAAGATGCGCACGCTGTTTAATCGTTAATAACTCTCTTGCTTTCAAGTCTTTTGCCGAGTTTGCGGTATCATTCTTTAGAGCAGGTTCAACTTAGATTTACAGTATGGAGCAAATCACCAATCACTCTTCAATACTGTAGGACTATGGTGTGAATTTTCAGCATACAACGTTGTAGAATAGGCCTTCTGATGAAATAATTAATTCTCGATAAATATCGAATTCAGTTTTTTATTCTGTTTTTTAAACTAATTTTGATATTTCTCGAGAATTAACTCTTGTAGAAGGCTGATTGCTTCTGAAGAATTTGATTGCTCCCACCTCGCCAGCGAACAGGAAGGATTCCTTGGTCCAGGAAGCCGTGGAACAACAACTAAGTACGTTCCACCCCAATCACGGATTGTGCTTCAACTTCGCGCGATGGGCCACTGGAACGAGAAGAACAAGACGCAGAGGAACGTACTTATGAGTAAGAACATCGACATAGAGCTCGGATCCAGCTGGGCATATTGTAAAATATTTATTTACAAGTATAGATTCAAATATTCAAGTAAAGAGAAGGCTGAAAATCTACTGTTGTACTTCCAAGCTAGGTAGTATAGAACTACTTACGCGAGAACAGCTCTATCACTTTAAGCATGAAGATTTTCAATTTTTGCATGTTCAGCCAAGGGAAAATAACAGTGCCTGCCCATATGAATGCTTGATGAGGAATGTATGCCCGTAAGCAAGTTGGGGTCCATAAGATTTTTTTTGACAGGATACGAATTTCTTCGATTTTTCGGTCGTTTTAAATCTTTTAGATTCCGTCTTCGAATTTTACGTAAATACGATTTGGTCAAAAGCAGTAATGCCATCTTGTAGAGCTTGTTTTGCTCTATCGAATGGTGCCCCACATTTTTTGGGTTTTGACATATTGCGATGCTAGAACGAGGAAATAAAAAGCCACATTCTTTTCTCGTCAACCTAATACTCAAAAATACTCTTATGATTGTAGGCTCTGCTGATGATGCTAAACTGTATCGGTGAGTTTCTTCTCTTTACCTAAGTTCTGCCGCTATCGCTATATCGTTACAGAAGCTCGTCCGCGAGGAGGTTGCGGGGGCGGAGGTGGCATCGGTGACCACTACAAATAAAAGTTCTCTAAGCGATAAGCTTTGAGTCAAACATCTTCACAAATTCAGCTTCGATGTTGCGATACATAAAGCTTCTCTTGATCCAGCACCAATGTGCAAGGTCAATTCACGCCCGTAGCTGGGTTCATGCGCAAGCAATATTCCATCAACCCGGAAAACAACACAAAATATATTTTTACAGAGCATGCTTGCAACAGTCAGAATGTTCACCTCCATAAATAGCATGCTGGGAGCAGTATACAGCGTGTCTCTAGTACAGGGCATTCGCAAAATCGTAACGACGGCGTGACCGCGCGCGACACGCCCGTACCTTCCGGCAACCGCATTTTCTTGGTATAGGCAGTGGCTGAACAAATCCTCGATCTGGAGATTTCTGCTTACCTGGGGTGATTCGATGCGCAGAATCCGAAAATCCACCTTGAAGATGGTTACAATGTTGCTGCATGCTTCCTCTGATAGTGAAGGAATCGCAAGCTCGTCCAAGCGGGTGTAAGATTGGCTTGCGCGTACTGGTTTGGGGGCAGTTTTGTATGCAGGGGCAGCATGTCATGCGCTCGGACCTGCTCTGTTCTCATGTCTGGGGTGCAAGCAACCTTCCATATCAGAATTTCGAGATGTTCCTTCGTCGAGCCACTGCCTTTAATCCCTACTCGAGTGGTTTTTTCTGCTTAGGTATGATCTTACATAGACACTGAATGTGACTGACGAGGAAATGGTTGGAACTTATCCGGCTATTCCGATCAAGCTGTGCTTCCCTCGACCTCAAACGGTGATTTCAAGTGTATGTTTTTATCTGCCAAGCGACTATCTGGGAAAAGTTATGAGCGTTCAAATATTAGAAATTTTTCGAGTTTCGACGTATATTTCTTTCAAAGGAAGCCTGATGGCGCGGATTTACAGTGGCTATGGTTATTTCAATTGCAAGAAAGAAGCATATTCACCAAGAACCTGAATAAGTGCTTTTGAAAAATTTTGCGTGGAATATGCGCCATAAAACACTTGACAAATCGCAAATTCACTGTGAACGCTCATAACGCCTCCCAGCTAGTCGCTTGGCAGATAATAAACATACATTTGCGATCAGCGTTTCAAGGCGAGTCCGATGATATACAGCATGTTTGGCATGGCTGGTTATGTTCTGACCATTCCGAGCTGAGCGTTAAGGTGGTGCCTTTTTGTATGAGGGATTATGCTCCTGCGGTTGCAAAAACCGCAGTGAAGACCGTTGTCACGATTTTATAAATGAACCTACACATTTTTCAACCGTTAATAATTCTTTTCCTAAGAAGTCTATTGCTTAGCTTTAAGTACCATTTGATAGAGGAGGTTTCAATTCAGATTTGCAGTATACTCCGAATCACCCATCTCTCATCATTAGTGTAGCATTACTGTATGAACTTCCATCATATAGCACCATTATAAAACCATGTGAAAAAGTTTAAAAAAGAGGAATTGAGAAGTTGTGTAGCAGTGTTTCCAAACATGGTTTCGCTGACTGAATTTTCAAGCGTTTTTGAAGCATTTTAGACGTTTTTATCATTTTTGAGAAGCCCCGAAAAACTTGTTACGAATTATCTGGCATAAGTTAAAATTTCATATTTTAAATTTCGCAAGTTTGAAACCGCCTGCAAAGTTCCTGTCGTAATCCTACAATAACAAAGAGTAATCCTACAATAATAAAGAAAGTTGTGATTTACTCTATACTGAAGTCTAGTTTAAATCCTGCTGTAGTCAAAGGTGCTCGAGGCTAAGCAAAAGACTTTACAGGAATAAAGCTATTAGGAATTGTAAGGTTAGTATTGCTTTTGGGACTCCCTGCAGAAAGCGACTTTTTTCATCAACACAAGCCTCGAAGATCCCGTCATTGCAAATTGTGAGACTTACAGCGAAGAAAGTTATCGAAAATTTATTTTTTTTTCACAATTTTAACTATAGAGGCAACCTTCGTTGATGACGCAAAAAATAACGAATGGTAGTCGCCGGTTATTGACTTCAGCACCTTTCTTCCGCTGAAGGACATCGATAATTTACGATGTGGAAAAGGAATTTCTCTACCAAAAAAGTGCCATAAACGTGTCAAAATCAGTGATAGCCACCAAAAAAAAATTAAAGAGATATCTTGAATCATCTTGCAATCTAACGATAAGAATAACATCATTTCAATCATGTTGGACCAGGGCTTGGCACGAGGCGACTCTTACAATCTTTCAAAAACGAAGTCCCCGTTGACTTCGCAACAAATATACGGCTCCCCCTATGACATCTCCCCATGACTGAGTAAAACATGCAATCAGAAAAAAAAACGAAAAAAGCGATTGCGAAAACTTGTAATGTTTGTATTTTTTGTACTGGCTGCTTGCGGTGTCTAGCGCGCACCTCTGCACGCTTGGAGCACGATTACCACCGCAGTTCAAAACATTTGAAGGGCACTAACTAAGCGAGGAAAAGGGGCCTTGAAATGTTTCAAAAACTTATTTGTAGCATTTTGAATGTAGATTATAAATGTGCAAAATGTTTGGAAAATCATGTGGAGAAGAAGAATTATATGACGTGAGCCACCTCAGGTGGCTCTCTAAGTGGCTCAAAAGCCAGCTAACACCAAGAAAAAAAAGTTTGCTACGCCTTTCGTTCACATAATGTTTCTCATATTTTTCATATTTAGTTCCAACTCACTATTGCTCGTTTACACACCAGTTTTGGTGTCATATTATCTGCTATTCGCTGTAAACAAATCTTTTGTTTATTTCTGAGCACATTCAAATTCCCGCGCTTGCACGGAGAGCATTCTAGAGCGGGAAGTTGTTTTTGCAGTGAATGGAAGCAGTAGGGCAGTGACATTTATGACGTCCTCAAGGGTTGTGGGGCTTGGTTGTGGGGGGGGGGGGGATTGTTGGGAGATGGTAAAAAAGTTGAGAGTATGTTTGTCTATTATATGTGACAGTAGTGTAGAATTAGCATTGTTTGTCGGAGGGAGGGCTGAAAAAATTTGTTGGGTTGATGAGCGTGGAAATGGTCAACTTCTCAAAGTCTTTTTACAAATAGTCAGTTTTTTATAACATCAATTAGATTGCTTTGCGTGATCAAGTCTTTAAAATTTTATAATGGAACCCCAGAGAATCCGGTTTTGCATCGGTTATTTCTTTATGCTCACCATACTTGGCTCGGCTGATACATACAGGGTGTCCTAAAAGTATGTATCGAACGTTTGATCGTTAATATCTCTCTTCCCAAGAAGTCTTTTGCCTTGCTTCAAGTACCATTTTGTAGAGCTGGCTTCAACTTAGATTTGCATTAAAGAACGAATCACCCATCTCTCTTCATTACTGTAGGATTACGGTAGAAACTTGAAACATATGGTGTCAATGTGGAAAAAGCTGCAGTTCCAAAATTCTTCAAAAAATTGTGAAAACTTGTGTAATAGGGTTTTTATGGATGCTGAGTTCAATACTCAACTATTCACAAGATTACAAAGCTTTCTAAACGGTGTAATCGCACTTTTTAGGAACATTGAAAAAATGGCCGCTACCTCTTACCTGGCATAACTCCTCAATGAAGCATCATAATAAGTTGGGAACTTTACAGTTATAATCAGCAACTCTAATTAGCCTAGTGTGAAAACTTTCAGGCTGTTTTGTTTCTTTTCTGAAGCAAAATATGGCCTTCCATTGCTTAAAACCCTTTTTGTTCTACCGTAATCCTACAGTAATGAAGAGGAATGAGTGATTCGTTCTATAATGCAAATCTAAGTTGAAGCTAGCTCTACAAAATGGTACTTGAAGCAAGGCAAAAGACTTCTTGGGAAGAGAGATATTAACGATCAAACGTTCGATACATACTTTTGGGACACCCTGTATATTTTTCCGACGTCCACTGAGTACCTCTTAAACACGATATCCCATTTGCTTTTGATCTCCAAAACAATACCCAGCTTGTACCGTAAGCCAAGCCACCTGTGCCGAGCTCTGTGTGGAACCAGTACGTATATAGGCTACACAGCTTTCATCAAAATTATAAATAAAAAAAGGTAGTTTTACACCATCAAATCACTCACCTCAAGGTAACTCAAGATGCTAAACTATCTGTACACTAAACCAGATACTTTGACATGACGGCTACAGTAGAATCACGGCAGGAAGCACTTGCCATTTTGTGGACAAACTGTTTTTCAGAATCTGCTTTAGATATTGAGTTTTATGCCATTGTTTGCAGCAATCTTCGTGAGTATGCTATCAGTTTCACAAAGTCGACTCTAGAGTTTGGACTATTTTGAAAGGTGTAATAAAACATTATTGAGTTTTGTGGAACAAATAGTTTAAAATGCATAGTAAACTATTGCCAGGTCAGCAAAATCCTATCAAAATATTAGCAACTGCTTTGTAAACTATACAGGAGCCACAAACACTTCTTAAGAGCGTATGCACGTAAAATCCCCGCAGGGGAAGGAGGGGTTCTGAGAGGGAATGTGTCATATCTCACTACTCTATGTATCTTTTTTCTCCTTTCTCCATCTTGCTTATAAAGTTCTTCATGCACTTATATTTGTGCATAATGGCCAGGTTACTGCCATACAAGATTGGCTTTTGCCATTTTGTGTGATCCCCTGGAGATCCCCTGAAAATCCCCAGGAATCACTTCTCATTTTCAAAGTGATTTATCTTTTCAAGAATTCAGTAAAAACGCCGCAAAATTTTACTCAAGATATATTATGGCACTGCTAAGCATGTTTTCGATAAGAGAAAGGAATTTGAAAATTGTGAATTTTTCGTTGATCCCTAGCTCGCGAGCTAGGGATTTCGATTTACCGAGATTTCACTTATTTCCACCACAAACATCTTTAGCAGTGCCGTAGTATATCCACAGTACAATTTTACAGCGTTTCATCAAGTTTTTAGGAGAGTAATGGCATCGAAATTGGGAGTGATTTCCGTGGATCCCCAAGGAATCACACAAATTGCTAAAAATTTGATCTATTATGCCAGTAGCCTGGCATCAGTTATGCGTAGGTATTAGGGTATGAGAGCCTTCATAAGCAAGATAGAGAAGGAAAAGAAACATAGCTAGAGTAGCGAGACATGATGCATCTCGTCTCATCCCCTCTCCTCCCGAACAAGTACGACGTGCATACACGTTGTGAACCACAATTCACGCTTCCCGCAAAGATTGTTTCTTGTGCTGTCATTCCTATAACAGAATTTACGATTTCTAAATTTGTGGAAGACGCAACTAGAGGTGATGGCAGGTGTACGTATGAAAGGTCATTCATCGGTCAACATTTACTATAATTCTGCTACCTAATTGCAGTCAGGACACATTTACCTATTTACATTTATCACATTTACATTTTGGTGATTTCTACAGGATTTATAGAGAAAAATGAAAAATCAAGAATTTGCGTACTAAAAATCTTTCTTGAGCCTTCCAAGCGTCAGAAAGGCGAGCGAAAATAGTGTGGCTAATGCGACGAGGTTAGAAGTCGAACGCATTGAGTTCGCCCGCATTCGCGAATGTAGATGCGGTACCGTTAGCCACGACACGCCAAAAAAGACCTCACTTGCCTAGAATTTGAGGCCGTTCTACGTATGCGCATGGTCTGTGTAAGTGTATATATAAGTCACTTCTGTTTACGACCATCCGCGAACGGTCAGTAATTACTGACTCTGACCGTCCAACGATCGAGAGTAGTAGGAATGGAGGAACCGGTGGGAAAAATTGTGGCTGGTCCATCGGGTGATCCTTACGCGGAAGTCGGAAGAGAACTCAACGAAGCCAGTGGATTTCAATCGCTCAAGCACTTAGTGGCAAAAAGAAGTGATAGACCCCTATCGGTAGAACTTCCGAAGTACACGTAACTCCAGTCAAAAAATGTTAGGAGATTATCAAATTTTTACATTGTGATTAACTGTTGAGAATGAATCAATGAACAGATGTATAGGTGTGTGTATGTAGATATAGGTGTATGGTTATACTTTTTGATTCAATTGGCTTGGCTCCTGGAAGACGGGCTTCGTGACCTAGTTGAGGCTAGATAATGATCAGAAAGCACGCGCGCGAAAAAGACGAAGACTCGTCGCGGGCGCGAGCGGCCTTAAAGGTAGCGTCCAGGCAGATCTGGACCTATGGGTATGTGGAAAGTAATTTTGGGGCCCTAACTAAGGCACTGCCCAAGCGGCAGAGCGGATGACTCACTCTATTCTCTCAACTTGATCCGTCTACCCTTAGTTTCATGTCTTTTACCTTTTACTAACATGAAAACTTCTGACTATTTCTGTATATCATAAATGTGGGGGAACATAATTGGAGAGAGGACCACCGAGCATTCGAGGAGTGCCAGCTCATCTGAAGTTGGTGGCACCGCCCAGTCGTCGAGAGGACTGGCGGACTCTAATTAGTCTGCATCTCGACAAGACGGACTAATTGTGGAAAAGGTGATACTTCACAGAAGTTTTTGAATCTTTTTGCATAATATTTTCACAAGTAATTTTGTAAGTTTACAGTTCAATTTTGGCGTCATATGCTATTGTGCGCTGTAAACAAGCAGCTTGTTTATAGCATTGCTTTCAAATCGCGCGCTTTTTTCGCCATACTGGAACATGTTAATCGTGTGATACCGTTTCGAAAAGTTTGTGTTCGACTAAATGGCGCTTATTCTTGGTGCTCGGTCTCGACTCGTAAAAAACGACATCTCCTTTGCTTTTCCCAAAAACGAAGTCCAGCCTACTTCCAGACGATATGTGCTGGGCTCTGGCGCCGTAGTGATATCCGGTACGTGCGGCAACAAATCGACGATAATCACTACCTTTTTGGAGAATTTGGGATTTCTGAAGGTGACGCATAAATTGACCATGTTTTTTGCATCTTGTTAGGAGACTGTATAATCATGCAAAGGTATGTTTGCGATATCCCTTTGCTTTCTTCCTGAAAGGATCTCCAGCTTGACATTTTCCATCCTCGTGCCGGGCCCTGTTGCATGCTAATAATGTATGGAAGTGAAAGGTTTATTTTCAAATGTAGACTGTATTCAAAGCGAAGTGATATTTTCTATCAACGATAAGTGATGATCGCAGACAGTGTACGGAACAAAATGGCGTCCCCGTGATTTGGAATTTTATGTTCTATGGAAAGTATAAAATTAAATCTTCGTGTACTTTTCTTTTCTTAATTTCTATTTTGCTTCTTTCTCTCACCGCAATCTTACCCCAATTCTATAAATGAAGTGCATTCTAGTGAAGGCTGAACACAAGCTCAAATCCATGAAGTTATAAAGAAGTCATGGGTGGGTATCGATTACGAATCGTTGTTCAAAAGTGTCTGTAATGATTCAGATTTTGGCGTCATCTTAATGTTATCCTCTCCTATAATATAAACCCGATCCCAAAAAACGAGACGGCGAGGATGGTCCGCCCATTTGTATGCTTCAGCGAGTGTTTTGAATAGACGCCAGTTTCCGAACGGGGCCTTATTGTGTAGAGACGCGACGGTGCGATCATGAGGTCAAGAGGACGCAGAGGTCTTAGCGCGAACGAGAGGCCACGACACGCAGGGTACGCTCTGCTGCTGCAAAGGGTGTGTTGAAAGACGCAAGCGTGTGCCAAGGGTGTTGAAATTGCGAGCTGGACATTGTTGCAAAGTTAGTTCCTCTCCTATAATATAAACCCGATCCCAAAAAACGAGACGGCGAGGATGGTCCGCCCACTTGTATGCTTCAGCGAGTGTTTTGATAGACGCCAGTTTCCGAACGGGGCCTTATTGTGTAGAGACGCGACGGTGCGATCATGAGGTCAAGAGCACGCAGAGGTCCTAGCGCGAACGAGAGGCCACGACACGCAGGGTACGCTCTGCTGCTGCAAAGGGTGTGTTGAAAGACGCAAGCGTGTGCCAAGGGTGTTGAAATTGCGAGCTGGACATTGTTGCAAAGTTAGTTCCTCTCCTATAATATAAACCCGATCCCAAAAAACGAGACGGCGAGGATGGTCCGCCCACTTGTATGCTTCAGCGAGTGTTTTGATAGACGCCAGTTTCCGAACGGGGCCTTATTGTGTAGAGACGCGACGGTGCGATCATGAGGTCAAGAGCACGCAGAGGTCCTAGCGCGAACGAGAGGCCACGACGCGCAGGGTACGCTGTGCTGCTGCAAAGGGTGTGTTGAAAGACGCAAGCGTGTGCCGAGGGTGTTGAAATTGCGAGCTGGACATTGTTGCAAAGTTAGTTATAGAAGCATACCATTTGATCCGCTCACCTTCGATCTCAGTATTCATTATGCTTCCACATTTCCGCCCAATTTTGAGAAAATCTCCCAAAATCTCGCTTTTGGGGCTTTTGCTATGGGTGCATCCGATTTTTCTCTCCAGCTTGTAAGCGTGAGTGCGAGAGTGACATTGCGAAAGGAAGCTGTACAGCGATGACTGGGGCAAGACAAATTTTTAGCACGATATGATCCACTTTTCCGCCAAATTTTGAGAAAATCTTCGAAAATCTCGCTTTTGGGAGCTTTTGCTGGGTGAATCCGATTTTTCTCTCCAGCTTGTAAGCGTGTGTGCGAGAGTGACATTGCGAAAGGAAGCTGTACAGCGATGACTGGGGCAAGACAAATTTTTAGCACGATATGATCCACTTTTCCGCCAAATTTTGAGAAAATCTGCCAAAATCTCGCTTTTGGGAGCTTTTGCTATGGGGAATCCGATTTTTCTCTCCAGATTGTAGGCATGAGTACGAGAGTGACATTGCGAAAGGAAGCTGTACAGCGATGACTGGGACAAGACAAATTTTTAGCACGATATGATCCACTTTCCTCCCATTGAAAATATCTGAAAATGTTACTTTTGAGCTGTTGTGGCAATACATGTGCTGACAAATTGGAATTTCACTTGAGAAATTTTTAGGTATGAAAGACATTTATTTATGGGTGTGCCCTACCCGCTTGCTAGCGACCCGTAGGGTCGCTAGTCTTATATATAAAGCTGAATGTCTGTTTGTCTGTCTGTCTGTATGTCTGCATGTCTGTCTGTCTGTATGTGTGTACGTATGTTCCGAATAGAAGATTCCATTTCCTAACCGATCCGGACCAAACTTGACACACATAGACTTCGGGCCCCGGCGGGTGTCACAGTCCACTTTTCGCTATCGATCGGTGTCGATTTTATCGATTTTTTGCAAAATTTGAGCTACGGGGCTGGGAGTTGGCACAGGGGGGTAATCGAGCATGCTGATCACCCCCGTGGGGGTGATCAGCATGCTCGATTGTGTGTCAAGTTTGGTCCGGATCGGTTAGGAAATGGAATTTTCTATTCGGAACATACGGCGGAGCCGGGTAAGCCAGCTAGTTTTTTAATAAATCTCTCTCTTGCCACTCAATTGCAATCGCGAAGAATCTAAGCTTTCAATTAAGCGATTGCCTTAATGGATCACATTTCTTGACAGTCTTGTTTAATACGTGAAATGGCATTTTACAGACCTTATGATATTTCCATATACATTAACTATCCATTTGCCTCCACATCTGTTGGAAAAGAGCGCAAAGTACGGGCGCAAATCCTTGCTATAATCAATGCTACATAAGCGTGACGAATTGTGTATTGCTATTCTGTCATTTTCATCTACATCTAGGTTCTTGCCTCTTGATGTGGCTATCAATTTAGCCTCCACAATGGAGGTTTCTGTTCGATCTGTCGTCAAGTTTTTGAGAGGCTTTTTAGTAAAAAATAGGCATGTATTCAAAAACAATGGTTTGGAAAAATTGCATTTACAAGCTTTCCACCCCTCCTTGGCCTTCTGGATGCACTGAGTCCAGGTGTGCGCTAGAAAAGTCGAAAAAGGCTTCTCATAGCGTTTTCCGACCTTGGAAGTTGCTGAGGGGATGGGCTAGCGATCGCCAAATGGGTCGCCATTGATGGCTTGAGCCGATCGGCTAATCGCCCGCAAAATGCCTAGATTGCCTAGATCGGGGGCAGGCGGTCCGCAAACTCGCGCTTTTCTGCAAGCGTCAGCAAATTTTGAGGCGTGGCCAAACCTTCAGCGGTGCGGCGCTTCCTTTACGGTCGCATATTCTGCCAGCAGGCAGCAATACAGCATTTTCTGCAAGTGCTCGGTAAATAATTTCTTTCAGCAAGCGCTCGGACTCTTTTTACGCAATTTCGAGCGTACGCCGAGCAAAGGTGAGACTCCATGTGGCATAGGTGTCATCGATGGTTAAGTACCCGGTTTAGAGTACTTTCTCTCAGCGAAAGTACCTGAGGGCTGTGCGGTCCTTCACAAAGGACCGTGCGGCCGTCAATAATTTTGCATATTCTCGAGGAAATTCCGTGAAAATGCGGCCACTGCGTCGCAACTGATCTATAGAAAAATCGCAATTGTACTCCGAGCATTCGCCTAAAAATCGGCCAAGATCCTTCGAAATTTCTGCAAGCGACCGTAAGAAATCAGCTGACTATTTTTCCGGTGCCCGCTTGCCCAAAAATCGCATGGCCGCTTGCCCCCTGCGGTTATCTGAGCAGCAATCTGCAAGGCCGGAAAACGCCGAAAGAGCTTTTTTTTGATTTTCAAGCATAGCCTCGGACTCAGCGGATCCAGAGGGCCATGTAAGTGCAAAAAGGACGCACTCGCATTTCCCGAGCCACTGCCTTTAAACGGCAAATAATGTTTTTGGATGTTATGAAGTACCACCAAAGAAATTAGTAAAGCAAAGGTAGCACCATCGGAAACGTACGTAAAACTTCTAAAACGTACGTAAAAGGTTTAAAAGCAGTGTCCAGACATCTTGCTCAGACATGTGCCTAGAAGGGGGGGGGGGGGGCTCGTTATGGCTTTTGTTATATTTTTCAACCCCTAAAAAGGATAAAAATTATGCATGATCTATCATCCAAGGTTCTATTGTACTAGCTTTACAGTTATATCAGGCTGGAATAATTGTATTTCAAGAGAAACCTTCCGGTGTTGAGTTGCCTTATCAAGCCAGATTCTTTTTTTTTTGAGTATCGTAGAGTCCGCTTCAGCTTTGATGGTTTAACATGTTGAGGCTAGCAAGAATTTTGAGCGAAAATTTGAAGGCGTTTTTATCAGTGTAGTGCCAACTTAGGAGGTGCTAGCGAAGTAGTCGACTGTAGCCATCAGTTTCAGTTGACGAACGAAAATTTTGCTTATTTCTGCTTTCTTCTAATTTCTCTTATTTCTGCTATTTCTGACTTGTGAGTGCATTTTATAATGCATTATAAAAAAATGAATATTCCAGTGCACCCTAGCCACTACCAATACTCAACCACTCTGCTAGCTCTAACGTCGTCTATTGCAAATTCAAAGAAAGTGAATTTTCGTAAAGGCCATTTCTGCAATTGCATAACGCGCGAGCAGTGCGGAAACACGGATCTTTGTTTCTAGTTTTAGGATGGGTTTTAGACAACTTTAAAACAGCAGCGTAACTATGCCGCACACTATGCTGACCCTCAAAGGCACCGTCCAACCAAAGTGGGGCTCACGAAATTCAATGGCATACCAATGTGGGCCCCCACACTAGGCCAACCCCAAGTTTTCCTGCAAAAGATTGCTTCCGAAGCGAGAAATCCGCTCCGGAAGAGACGTATCTCCGGAGCTGGTCACTCCGCCCATTTTGCAGATTTGGCGGGCTGCAGCGCTAATATACGCCGGGCGCATAACAGCGCCGCAGCCCTGCGACTTGCATCTGCACCGTCCGCCAGGTTCTCCAAAACGGGATTTTGGGGGCCTCGTAATTTTTTGACTCCATATTGGAGTTCAAGGCCTTCAGAAGGCCTGTAAGCGACCAAAACATGGGAGAATTTGGGTGGACGGTGCCTCTAAATACAGAGTATCCCAAACAGCCGTATTGAACGTTTGATATTTAATAATTTTCTTGCATGAAAAGTTTCCACGTCCTCTTAACCGTATTGTAAAGCTGGCTTCAACTTAAAGTTGCAGTTTTTGCGCAAAACATCGATCGGCTCATTACTATAAGAATATGGTAGGAATTTCCAGCATACAGCGTCATTGTGGATTAGCCGTAGTTCAGAAAAAGTTGAAAAATTAGAAGTCGGTAACATTTTTTACAAGTTTTCAGAGCTTTGTAAAGGTGTGATCAGCTTTTGAGGAACACTGAAAATACTGCTGTAAAATACTACGGTAAATGCAAGACTTGCGAAGAAAGCATCAGTTCATAATATATCGTCAGCTGTTCTGACTGCCTTATTGTATAGACTTTTTAGAGTATTTGGATTTTCTTCTGAGGCAAAATAGGACCTTCAATGGCTCAGAACCTTTCACGGTTCCTATGGTGATTGAGTTATTTATAGCAATGAAGAGTGAAATCTAAGTTTATCCAAACTCTACACTTCCATGTTTTTGTCGCGGATTGCGCGACTTCTTCAAGGAGTCCGCTTCTCGTGCGCGAAGGGGTCTTAAAACGCCAGTCCTCGCGCGCTGCCCCGCCTTCTCGCTCGCTACTTATGCCGCAGCCTACTTTCAAATAGTCACGTACGCCACATGTGTCTACTCGCGAGCGGTCGGCTTCAGCTCGGTCCAATTATCGATCGATCCAGCAGCGCCGTCTTACCAACTCACGTGAAGAACACCACCACGCATGGAGGACTGGTCCGTCGCCTCGAGGTAACCCGGTTGGTGCTTCTTGCTTGCCGCAGGGCAAAGGAGTACCTCCGCGGGGGGGGGGTTCTTTCTATCGGCCCTTAGGTAACATCTGGCCGGCGTATGCTCATCCCATTGTAGTGAGTTGTTTGTGTGTTGGTTAAGATTCGGATAAATAGTGGGCACCTTAAGAGTCTTAGTGTTTTGTACAAGTGTTGGGCTTAGGGCTTAGGCCTTGGCCCCAGGAATATTGTGTGCTATTCATGTTCGTTGTGCGTTCCTGATGTGTTGATGTTCTGGAAGGTTCCATCAGTAGGAGGACAGGCATGAGGCCGGCTAATGCCAACGTGCTAGTGATCCACAACTGCCAATAGTGTGTGGGGCGGCTTGAGAACCTGGCAGTTGAGATTGGGGGGGGGGTTAGGTTGGTAGCCTAGGGCCTTCAAGATGCTAGTGTATCCGTGTTCGGCAGGCCATAAGAGCATGGCGCAAGCTAGCTACCCTTCCACACGTGTCGTTGTCCTGTTTCACGGATAGCGTCCTCAGCTCCCTTCGCCGATGCAGGAGAGCACGATACCACTGACGTCTGGAGCTGGGGATCCCAATCCGCGACAGTTTTAAGGCTGTGAAAGTTTACCATTTTCAGATATTGGAAATTAACCGTTCGATAACTTTTCAGAGAACCTTGTATTTTCATTTTTTCTTCAAAGAGCTAGCAGAACCACAGTGGAGTGTAGTGCATGAGCGCTAAGCTGAGTTTCAATTACAAATTTGCTAAAATGGCAAAGAAACTACCTAAATTACTGTCACTGCTCCTACAAATTAACAATGAGCGTTCAAACTTTTCTAAATTCTTAACCGTCAAAAATCATTTGCGATTTGTCCTTTCATGAATGCTCGATGGTTACATGGGGTTGGATGAGTGTCCTTATCATCCTCTTGACAAAATACTTGTCCCTAATAATTTCAAAGAATCAAGCTTAGAACACCTCAAATTGTTATAATAATAGCAAGATTAGGCATGGGAGAACAATTTGCATCAATTACAAATCTTCTTCCTCTTTGTGTAAAGTTGACCATCTTTTGACACCTTTATGCACGATGTAATAATTCCGTATCTGATTTTGAGCATGCTGGTAATTATGGCAGAACAAATTCTTTTCAGATGCACCCAGCAAAAATCAGCAGCCTGTTTCTCATAATAGTAAGTAGTGAACTTCTTTTTTTCTTGCCTTTTCAAATCAAAAAGAAAAAAATGTCGCTTTTTGTTTTAGTGTCATGGCATCGTAACAAGGCAAATCCCAAAGAAGTGTAGGGGGTGACATTCGAGAGAGCAAAGCAACCTCTACAACATGGCATTACTACTTTTGCACCAAATTATTAGGTTGTCTGGAAATTAATGCCCGTTTTGAATTTCAACCGCTATAAGTCATGCACTTCTCATTTCTAAATAGGTGCCAAAGTACCATTCGATAGAGCAAAGCAAGCTCTACAAGATGGTGGTCTTGTTTTCGCAACAGCTCTCATCCACCTCGAGTTTTGAGCCGAAAACTTAAAAGACTCAGCAGACCAAAAAATCGGAAAAATTTTTAACTCAGTTCATAAAAATCCTACAAAAATTCTGACTTGCTCACGTAAACACTATCCACATAAAGCATCCAAGTGCGCCTTTGCCGTATTTTTTTCTCTGATAGAAATCAAAAAAACGGAAATTTTCGTGCTTTTGCCAAAGTGGTGTTGTGCCGTTACCACATAGATAGTTGTGTACCACAAACCTGTAGAAGTACAAATGTAAATTCTCAGCTCTCTATAAGCTTTAGTTCTCAAGAAATTTGAATTTTAGCTTGGACCACCTAACTAAGGAAAGCTATATTCGGTATTTCTCGAAAACTAAAGTTTGTAGAGAGCTGAAAATTGAAGTCTGTATTTCTACAGGCTTGTGGTATACAAGTGCCTATGTGGGGACGGCACAACACCACTTTGGCAAATGCACGAAAATTTCCGTTCTTGATTTCTATCAGAGAAAAAAATACGGCAAAGGCGTATATAGATGCTTTATGTGGATAGTGTTTACGTGAGCAAGTCAGAATTTTTGTGGAATCTTTATGAAATGAGTTACAATTTTTTCGATTTTTTGGTATGCTTAGTCTTTTTAGTTTTTGGCTCAAAACTCGAGGTGGATGAGAGCTGTTGCAAAATCAAGATTGCCATCTGGTAGAGCTTGCTTTGCTCTATCGAACGGTACCTTGCAACCTATTTAGAAATGAGAAGTGCATGACTTATAGCGGTTGAAATTCAAAACGGGCATTAATTTCCGGACAACCTAATATATCCAGGCAAAGTTCGAAGATAGGATATAGAAGATTTTAAGGACCAAAAAATCGAAAAAATTCGTATCTCTGTCTAAAAGATCTCTAAGGCAGGCGCTATACTCCTTGAGGAGTATAGTATGGCGATCGCCCGTCGCTAATCGATACGTATCAAACGTGTAATTGTAATCGCCGATATTGGCGATCATTACTCATTTCCCACTTCCATTTCAAAGTAGAATGAACTGCAAGACCAGTGATTTTCACAATCAACACTTAACGGTAACTTTTGGCGACTGGCGATCGCCAGTCGTAGCTACTGGCGATCGCCAATATCGGCGAGAAAAATCGCTGGTTTTACACGTATTTGATGCATATCGATTGTCGCCATGCTATACTCCTCGAGGAGTATAGCACCTGCCTAAGGCCCTCCTCCTTGCTCATGGACATACATACGTCATCAGTCATTCATATGCACAGTTTCTGCTATCTTTAGTTTGCTTCTGTCAAAATAATTTTGGGTTGTTCCTAAGTAGGTAAATTTAGTAGATTTTCGGCCTTCTGCAAGAGTTAATTCTCAAGAAAAATCGAATTCAATTCTTTCATTTTTTTATCGAACTAAATTCGACATTTCTCATACTTGACTCTTGTAGAAGGCTGATTGCTTCTGAAGATTCTGATTGCTCCCAACTCACCAGCACACAGTTAAAAATTCTTTGGTCTAGGAAGCCGTGGAACAGCAGTCAAGTATATTCCCCAATCATGGATTGTGCTTCAAGTCGCGCGCTGTGTTACCGGAACGAGAAGAAACAAGACGCAAAGGAACGTAATTATGAGTAAGAACATCGACATAGAGCTTGGATCCAGCTGGGCGCCACACATTGCAAAATATTGATTGGCAAATATATATTAAAAAATTCAAATGAAGTGAAGGCTGAAAATCTACGGTTGTCCTTTCAAGTTAGGTAGTATAGAATTAATTACGCGAATACAGCTCAATATCACTTTAAGCATAAAGATTTTCAATTTCTTCATGTTTAGCCAAGGAAAAATTACACCACCTGCGCGCATATGATTTCTTGATGGGGAATGTATGCCCGTAAGCAAGTTGGGGGTCCTCAAAAATTTTTTGACCGAGATACGAATTTCCTCCGATTTTTTCAGTCGTTTAAAACCTTTTCCATTTTTGAACTTCACGTAAATATAATTTTGTGCAAAAGCAGTAAAGACATTTTGTAGAGCTTGTTTTGCTCTATCGGGTGCCTCACATTTTTTTGGATTTTGACATATTGCGATACTATGACGAGGAAATAAAAGCGACATTCCTTTCTTACCAACCTAATACTTAAAAGTACTAATATAAGTGTCGAATATTGTTGTGCCGAACAGGTTGTTAGGTGGTCCTTTTATTGTCAATACTCTTCGGCCTTACGTTTCGTCGCTTTCGTCTTCATCAGAGGCCTGGAATGGTTCAAAGCTTCATCCGTAACTCCAGCCCATCAAACGTCTCCACCAGCCCCTGCCAGTTCTCGGCTCTTCCCCCAATCTAGTGCTACAAAAATTGTAATGACAAAAGACATACCAGGGAACCACCGCTTCGTTAGATGTCCGTACCGGATGTAGATGTTCGCGACGGACGACTGAGCTATACTGAAGGAGCCTTCAGTATAGCTCAGTCGTCCGTCGCGAACATCTACATCCGGTACGGACATCTAACGAAGCGGTGGTTCCCTGGTATGTCTTTTGTCAATACAATTTTTGTAGCACTAGATTGGGGGAAGAGCCGAGAACTGGCAGGGGCTGGTGGAGACGTTTGATGGGCTGGAGTTACGGATGAAGCTTTGAACCATTCCAGGCCTGTGATGAAGACGAAAGCGTCGAAACGTAAGGCCGATGACAATAAAAGGACCACCTAACAACCTGTTCGGCACAACAATATTCGACACTTACGAACATGCCCAGGTCTAATGATTACGGAACATGGAAATTATTAGTACTATTATAATTGTAGGCTCTTCTGATGATGCTAATCTGTATCGGTGAGTTTTTCCTCTTTACTCAAGTTTTGTCGTTATCGCTATATCGTTCCAGAAGCTGGTGTCCCAGGAGGGTGCGGGAACGGAGATGGCATCGCTGGCCACTACAAAGTTTTCTGAGCGTCAAAACGTCTTTACACATCTCCACAAACTCAGCTTCAATGTTGCGATACATAAAGCTTTTCTTGATCCTACACCAATGTGCAAGGTCAATTCACGCCCGTAGCTGGGTTCATGCGCAAGCAATATTCCATCAACTCGGAAAACAACACAAAATATATTTTCACAGAGCATGCTTGCAACAGTCAGAATGTTCACCTCCATAAATAGCATGTGGGAGCAGTGTACAGGGTGTCTCTGAAGTACAGGGCATTCGCAAAATCGTGACACGCGACACGCGACACGCACTTACCTTCCGGCAACCGCATTTTGTTGGTATAGGCAGTGGCTCAACAAGTTCTCGATCTGGAGTTCTTCTGTTTATTTGGCGTGATTCGACGCGCAGAATCCGAAAACCCACTTGAAGAGCGCAAAAATGGCGAAAATTAGCATTTCTCAAGACCCATTTTGAATCTGGACGAGTCGTAAGTTACCTGCCTTGTTTAGGGACGCAGAGTCGTTGCAGGACCCTCATGGTTACAATATTGCTGCGTGCTTCTTCTGATAGTGAGAAGGGAATCGCGAGCTCGTCCAAGCGCGTGTAAGATTGGCTTGCGCGTATGGGTTTAGGGGCAGTTTTCTAGGCAAGAGGAGCAATCCATGCGCTCGGACCTGCTCTGTTCTCTGTCTGGGGTGCAAAGCAACCTTCCATATCAAAACTTCGCGATGTTCCTTTGTCGAGCTAGTGCCTTTAATCCCTACTCGGGTAGTTTTTTTGCTCAGGTATGATCTTACTCAGGCACTGAATGTGACTGACGAGGAAATGGTTAGAACTTAACCCAGATATTCCGAACAAGCTGTATATCTTCTGACTCGTCTACGGTGATTTCAAATGTATGTTTTTTATCTGCCAAGCGGCTATCTTGGAGAAGTTATGAGCAGGGTCAAGCGTGGGGTGCGGCACGCCACACCTGGGGGGTCGTATTGAGGTGTCAAAAGGGGAGGGGGTCGTAGTTGGGTAATCTGATAATAGTGATAACATGATATTGGTATCATATCCATAATTAGCATTCAATTAATCCCTGTAGACAAAGCGTGAGCGAATTCTGAAGACTCAAGATGCTAGGCTACCTAAATGAAATGGTCAAATTCCAGCACGGTTAACTTTGTTTCAAAGGGAATTAGCTATCCGTTTTTGCACTCAAGACAAAGCACTACTCCTTCTTTGTCCATCTCAAAAATCCCGCTTCAGAAGACCTCCAAACTGTGGAATAGTCAACCAAAATCTCATTTTTCCCATTTTTCGCTTTCAATGGCTGTGCTCTCACCAAATATTAGTTAGAGCTAAGAAGACAAATCAGGCTCCAAACAGCCTTATGGAATCTACAAGGTTTAGGCTATTGATTCATATAAATACTGTCCGCTAAAAATGTTTTTTTTGATATAGTTAATGGGGTGCGGCTGCAGCAGCTTTTAAGGGGGCGTGCCGCACCCCCTTAACTTGCCTTCAATATCCAGAAAGCGCTCCATTGCTGGTATGAGTACTGAGCACATAGCTTCTTCTTGCTACATTGGAAATTTGGAGCCGAAAGCCCCACTCGTAAGAAAATTATGGCCCTTCCAATTCGCCCATTCAGATAAAAATCAGTCGTCAAATTACGTGTAATTGTAAAGTGCAGTCACAGAAAATGGGGCGCACAGCTCTCAGAAATCTGAAAACAAAAAGATGGTATCCTCTAGAATGTCACACTTTGAGGTCCAGAGGTTAAGAGGAGGAAGAAGGGGTCGTATGAGGGCATGGCAAGGGGGGGGGGGGCGGGGGGTTTTCGAAAGACTTGTGCCTGACCTCTTTCTCAACTCTGGTAATGCTATCTTAGGTATATAGTTCAGGGGGGGGGTCTTATTAAGACAGCAATCAGGGGGGGGGTCGTAACCAGCGATCTTGTGCCCTTGCTTGACCCTGGTTATGAGCGTTCAAATATTAGAAATTTTTCGAGTTTCAACGTTTCCTTAAATTTAATTTTAATTTCAAGTTTCCTTAGATTTCCTTAAAAAGAAGCATGGCGCGGATTTACAGTGGCTATGGTTATTTTAATTGCAAGGAAGAAGCATGTCCACCAAGAACCTGAATTAGTGTTTTTGAAAACTTTTACGTGGAATATGCGCCACAGAACACTTGACAAATCGCAAATTAACTTTGAACGCTCATAACGCCTTCCAGATAGTCGCTTGGCAGATAACAAACATACGTTTGCCATCAGCGTTTAAGACGAGTCCGATATTATACAGCATGTTTGGTATGGCTGGTTAAGTTCTAACCATTCCCAGCTGAGCGTTAAGGTGATGCATTTTTGTATGAGGGTGTTATGCTCCTGCGGGTGCAAAGACCGCAGTGAAAACTGTTGTCACTGTTTTGTAATTAAACTTACACATTTTTCAATCGTTAATAATGTTTTTCCTAAGAAGTCCATTGCTTAGCTTTGAGTACCATTCAATAGAGGAGGTTTCAATTTAGATTTGCAGTATGCTGCAAATCACCCATCTCTCATCATTAGTGTAGCATTATGGTATGAACTTCCATCACATAGCGCCATTTTAAAGCATGTGAAAAAGTTTGAAAAAGAGGAATCGAGAAGTTGTGTAGCAGTGTTTCCAAACATGCTGATTTCACTGACTAAATTTTCAAGCGTTTTTGAAGCATCTTAATTGGTATTTAACAATTCTTGAGAAACGCCGAAAGACTTTTGCGATTTATTTTGGCATAACTTCACAATAAAGTTTTACGGTGAACTGTAAATTTAATATGTCAAATTTCGTAAGTTTGAAACCGTCTGCAAAGTTCCTACCGTAATTCTACAATAACGAAGAGTAATTCTATAATAATAAAAAGAGTTGTGACTTATTCTATATTGTAAGTCTATTTTAAGTCCTGCTGTAGTGAATGGTGCTCGAGGCTAAGCAAAAGACTTTGTAGGAAGAAAGTTATTAGCGTTTGAAAAGTTTGTACTTGTTTTTGGAACTCCCTGTAAAAAACAACTTGTTTTTATCAACACATGTCACGAAGATCCCGTCATTGCAAACCGTGAGACTAACAGCGAAGAAAAGCATCCAAAAATTTTTTCTTCTTTCTCACATTTTCAACTATAAAAGCAACCTTCGTTGATGACGCAAAAAATGACGAATGATAGCGCTTGCTATCGACTTCAGCACCTTTCTTCCGCTGAAGGACATCGATAATTTACGTTCGGAAAAGAAATTTCTTTACGTGCCATAAACGTGTTGATGTCAAAATCGATGATAACCACAGAAAAAAATCAAAAAAATTTTTTGAATCATCCTGCAATCTAAGAATAACGTCATTTCATTCTTGTGGAACCAGGGCTCGCCATAAGTTGACTTTTACAATCTTTTGAAAACGAAGTCCCCGTTGACTTTGCAACAAATATACAGCATCCCTTATGACATCACTCCACGACTGAGTAAAACATGCAATTATGCACAACAAAAAAGAGTGGAAAAATGGAAAGACAACGAAAAAGACGATTGAAAAAACTTGTGATGTTTGTATTTCTCGTAGCCGCATGCTGTGTCCGGCGCGCACCGCTTCGCTCTTGAAGCACGATTAACACCGCATTTCAAAGCATTTGAAGGGCTGTAACTAAGCGAGGAAGAGGGGCTTTTAGATGTTTCAAAAATAGATTTTTTAAGGTTTTGATTGTAGATCAGAAATGTGTAAAAAGTTTGGAAAAAGTATGTGGAGAGGAAGAAATATATGGCTTGAGCCACCTCAGGTGGCTCTCCAAGCGGCTCAGAAGCCAACTAACTCCGAAGACAGTTTGCCACGCCTTTCGTTTACATAATTTTTTTCATAATTCTTCAAATTTGGTTCCAACTCATAGCTCGTCTACACACCAATTGTGGTGTCATAATATCTGCTATTCGTTGTAGACAAGCCTTTTGTTTTTTCGGGACACAGAATTCCCGCGCTTGCACGGAGAGCATCTTGAAGCGGGAAGTTGTTTTTGCAGCGAATGAGAGCAGTGGGCAATGACGCCCCAAAGGGGCGGGGCTTGGTTGTGGAAGGGGAGGGGGGGTTGTTGGGAGAGGGGATGAAAGTGAGAATATGTTTCTGTATCATTAGGTTGTAAAGAAAGTTCCCGGGCACTTGCGAAAATTTTTTATAAATCGCTGTAACTTCAAGCAGATTGATTCTTTTCTGAAGCTACAAACTTTATTGCAAAGACAATTCTGTCTACAACGTATGTTTGTCTTGCTGGCTTCTCAGCACCTTACTGCGGTCCACCAGCATGCGCAGAAGGGAAAAAGGTTGTCGCGAAAGGTCTATTTGTGCAGGATTATCTCAAGCAGGATGAGAGGTGGAAAGCCCAAGTGCTGTAGTATATGCAGGGGCTGTTATGAGGACCACCTGCAAAAAATTTTTCCTAGAAAGTTTGAAAAATCGACCATTTTTTCCTCCAAAAATGCACCATTTTTCGAGTAAGTGTCTTTGAAGTCTTGTTGTTCTGCAAAGGGTGGACCAAATCTTTGATTATTGCGAACATTGTTGGGGTAATGCCTTACGCATCTTTTGGATCCATCATTCAGGCGTGGCGATCCCGCAGGAGCGACACCAGCTGTGAAAAGAATTGCAGTCCGAGGCGAGCTTGACAGCTTGTAATTTCTGAGCTCAAATTTTGAAACTCGAGTGCAGCTGCGGGTCAGAAGCTGACAGGTTCCTCAATCATCACCCATGACTCAAACGAAATTCTTTGAACTTCACAAAAAAATGGCCGCAGGAAGAAAATTGTGAAATTTTTGTGGTTGAGAAGACTTCTGTTCTTGATGTGCAGATCAAACACGTCTTGACATTCATAAAAGTCAGAAGGCGTATTGAAAACTTCAGGCTTCCCTCTACTGAACAGTGTAAAAAAAATTTGTGTGAAAGTCCGACCGAGCGCCGAAAAAATGCGTTGAAATTTGAAATTTTCAAAAGTGCCCAGGAACTTTCTTTGCAACCTAATATATGTGACAGTAGTTGTAGAGTTAGCATTGTTTGTCAGTGGGAGGGCCGAAAAAAATTATTGGGTTGACGAACGTGAAATTGGTCAACTTCTCAAAGTCTTTTTGTAATTGGTCAGTTCTTTATAACATCAATTAGACTTTGCGTGATCAAGTTTTATGAAATTTTTTTACCACTTTAGAATTCCGGTTTTGCAATCGGTGATTTCTTCATGCGCACCATACTAGGCTAGGCTGATATTCTGGCGTACCGAGTGGGGGGCTCGATTACCCCCCTGTGCCAACTCCCAGCCCCGTAGCTCAAATTTTGCAAAAAATCGATAAAATCGATATCGATCGATGACGAAAAGTAGCCTATGACATCCGCCGGGGCCCTAAGTGTATGTGTGCCAAGTTTGGTCCAGATCGGTTCAGAAATGGAATTTTCTATTCGGAACATACGTACACATACATACACATACAAAAAACATACAGAACATACACACACAGACATACATACAGACATACATACAGACAAACAGACATTCAGCTTTACATATAAGATAATTAAAATAATTTTTAAAATTCAAATTAGCCTTGTAAAAAATTTTTTTCTGGGGCGTGGCTGCTGCCACGCCCCTTTTTCTGAAATTTTGGAGTCATCTGGAAAAATCTTGGAAAACATCCCAAAATTTTTTTCGGGCGAATTTTTTTATCCCCCCCCCCCGAGCCGAAATCCTGTCAAACACGATAGACCCTTTGCTTTTAACTCCACAATAACCACCTTGTCCCGTAAGCCACCTGTGCCGAGCCTTGTGTGGAACCAGTACGTATATAGGCTACACAGTTTTCATCAAAACCATAAATAACAAAAAGTTGTTTTACACCATCAAATCACTTACCTCGAGGTAACTCAGGACACTAAACGGACAGATCTGTACACTGACCAGTTCCCATGGCATTACGGCTACGGTAGGATTACGGTAGGAAGCATTTGCCCTTTTCATTGAGAAACTGTTTTTCAGAATCGAATCTGTTCAAGATATTGAGTTTCATGCCATTGTTTGCGAACTGCAATCTTAGCGAGTATGTTATCAGTTTCGCAAAGCTAATTCTAGACTTTATACTATTCTGGAAGGTATGATAAAACGTTATTGAGTTTTGTGGAACAAATAGTTTGAAATGCATAGTAAAGTAGTGCCAGGTCAACAAAATTCTATCAAAATATTAGCAACTGCTCTTTTAGAATCCTTATACAGTAGTGCCAAACACTTCTTGTTGACTACGACTCACAGTTCTCGCAAAGATTGTTCTCCTGTACTGTTAATCCTATGACAGAATTTACGACTAATTCGTTGTTCGTATGAAAGGTCATTCATTCGTCGATCAACATCCTTACTATAATATACATTGGAACTACCTGTGTACAATAGCCATCATTCTGAACGTGAGCTTATTGTTGTTTTTGTGTCACAATGACCGCCGATAGAAGAAAGCGTGTTACTGAGCGTCTGGCTCTCTTTGATTTGGTTCTGGTTTGTATTTGTCCTTATTAATCTGATATCTCTTCACAAACCTACAATCCTGGATTTATCAGAACTTGTTACTTTGCACAATAGTTCAGAAGATTATATCATCGTTTCAACGGCATCATTATGCGAACATAAAATTTATCAAGCCTTCAAATAAATCTTACAATCTACGGAGAAGTCTTACAAGGGAGGCACAAACAATTATTTTTTCTCATTATGGAATGTTCATCTCGTTTTCTGCCCAGATTAGAGAACTCATAAAAAATTTACTTCGATTATGTTTCATGAAAAGTCTAACTTTTCTAGCGAAAGTGAGCCTTTAAGCAGTTTCGACCTCAAAGAGGATTAAATTTGGCATTCTTTGGAGGAGTCAAATTAGAAAATTTGCCTCTCTTTTCTTATCAAATCTTCAAGACAATTCATTGAAAATGCACTTTTTCTAACATGTTTGCTGAAAAGTTTGACTTTCTAGCAGAAACTGAGTACTCAAGCATTTTTTCGTCACGGGCGGCGAAATTTGACGTCTAGTAAATTAAAGCTTCTCTTGGAAAAGTTCTAACCGCTTTTTTGCTCAGACGTCAAAAAAATCCTTGAAAAACTCATTTTTCCGAACACGTTTGCAATTTCTTCGTCTTTCCAGCTGCTAAACTCTCATTGCGTTTCGTTGCGAGATTGACGAGATACTTGCTGGAAAATACAATCACTCGTTTTTACCATGTCCAAATTTCACTAATTTTCAAAATTTTTGTATTAGACTTTCGGAGGAGCCTTAATAAGCATCAGATAGGGCAAACCTTTTGCCAACTTATGCAATTTTTTGTAGCCCTACGGCTTGTCTTTCAGAATTTTTACGATTTTTTGGAGTGACCAAATTTTACATTTAGCCTATTTTAACCTCGTAAAACCTAAAATGTTAAACACTTCAGTCACTATTCGATTCAAATTTTTCTCCTCGTTCTAACACTTGTCTTTTTTGCCAAGACAGGCGAAATATGTGGGCAAAATTGCAGTATTTCTCAATTTCAGAGTGCGCACTGACGTGACCTATGTTCGAAAATATTCATAGCTTGAAGCGAAAATCGCGCATTTACTTTGTAATGGTAGCGGTAGTAATAACTGAGTGTTGAAACCTTAGTATTCTGTAGGTTTTGCAGTGTTTGGTGCAATAACAGTTCATGCGATTTTTCCAAAACACAGGACTTTTACGAAAATATTTAGCAAAATCTGAAAAAGCAGCTGAAAAAAGAAAAAAAATTGCATAAGTTGGCAGAAGGTGTGCCCTATCTGGTGGTTATTAGGGCTCCTCCAAAAGTCTCACATAAAAATTTTGAAAATTAGTGAAAGTTGGACATGAATATACCTCGTCACTCTCGCAACGGAACGCAATGATAGTTCAGCAGCTGTAAAGACGAAGAAATTCTGCATCGGAAACATTTTGAAGTGTTTGATTATCTTCGTTCTAGCGTGTTTGCCCACTGACAAAACTTTTGCACTAACCTAATACAGAGCGAAAAACTGAGCATAAGCATTTTTGGTTTGGAGGGCAAGTGGAATTCTTAAGCATTTATTTGATGTGGTCTCGTGGGCCAGTAAAATACGAAGATTTATGGAGTAGAGGCTCATCTTAGAAGAAACTCTTCTTTTCCGTTTATAGTTTATAAAAATCCATGAAAAACTCTTTTCTTAAATACATTTGCTAAAAATCTTAATTCTTAAAGCAAAGAACCGAGCGTAATCAAATGTGATTTGGAAGGCATGTAGAATCTTAAGCGTTCAACCGGTTTTGATCCCGAGGGCCGGTGAAATTTGAAGATTTATGGAGTAGAGGCTGATCTTGTAAGGAACTCTTTTTTCCGTCCAAAGTCCAGAAAAACCCTGAATAACTCTTTGCTTGAACACATTTGCTGAAAATCTTAATTCTTGAAACAAAAAATCGAGTTTGATCAATTTGGGTTTAAAGAAAGTAGAATCCTTAAGCAATTATTTGATTTGGTCCCGAGGGTCGGTGAAACTTGAAGATTTATGAAGTAAAGGCTTATCTTGCAAATTTCATTCTCTTGTCCGCCAAAATAATTTTGGTTTGAAGGGAGGTAGAATTCTTGAGTATTTATTTGATTCGGTCTCGAGGGCCGGTGAAATTTGAAGATTTATGGAGAAGAGCCTCATCCTGGAAGGTTCCTTCTATTTTCCGTCCAAAGTCCAGAAAAATCCATGAAAATTTATTTCCTTTTCCGCTCAAATTTTCAAAATTGTCTTAAGAAGTCGTTTTCCGAACACTCTTGCTGAAAATTCAATTTCAGCCAAAAATGGCATTCAGTCACTTTTGTCTCAGATTAGATAAATTTGAAAGCACTCAATCAATTTTCGTCGCTAAATGGGAGGGAGGGGAGGGGGGGGGGGGGGGGGGGAGAGGTGAATTTCGGTAACATTCAACGTGCTGTGTGGTAGAGCTCCATTTTCAGGGTTCTTCTCCTTTTCTATTCAAATTCCATGACAATTCATGAAAACTCATTTTTTGAACAAGTTTGCTAGAAAAATTGGCTTTCTGCTGAAAAACTGAACATTCAATTGATTCTGTCCTGATGGGCAGCAACGATGTTTAGTGGGGTAGAGGCTCATTATGGATTCATGCTCTTTCCTATCCGAATTTTCGAAAAGATTCATGAAAATTTTATTTTTAGTTTTCGAAAAAATCATGATTTTTTAGCGAAAAACTCCACCTTCAGTCACTTTTGGTCTCGACAGAAGTTAGAATTCGATATTTTGTCGAGTGGAGCTTCGTGTTAAAATTTTTTTCACTTTCTATCCCCCCTCCCAGGCTTCAGAAAAATTCATTGAACGTGCCAGTGAATCTGCTTGATTAACCAGGTTTTCCCGTCAAAAACAACGCCTTTGATCAATTTTGTCTTAAATGAGATAAGATGAGATTCTGTAGAATTTATTCTTGAAGATTCATATCCTCTTTTCTCTTGAAGATCTGATCGCTTAAACAAGTTGGTTTCAAATAGGAATAGAGTTCAACCTTTCGCGTAGACAGCCTGATTTCGACTGTGAGCAAGTTTGCTAAAACAATAGATTTTCCAGCGAATAACTAAGGGGTTCTTTGCTAGAAAAATCAATTTTTCTGGCCCTTTTACTCCTAAAGGCAGATTTATAATACTTTTTTAAAATCTGTACAATAGAGATGAGTTTTCACAGATAATGCTATACTCCGCAGAACGTCAATTTTGCCTCCCTTCGAAACCAAGTTTGCTCAATCGCTTAGTTATGGGTAGGGGAACGAAAGCCGCCAGTTTGAGCCGCCTTTCGCGGCCAACTGGTCCTTTCGCAGTGTTGTTGCATGTCGTTCCAGGACCAGCAGTCCGCGGAGGCGGCCCAAACTGGCGGCTTTCGTTCCCCTACCCGCGAAGGACTGATCAGCCAATTTTCAGAGGAGGTAAATTTTGACTTGCGGAATAGAGCTTATATCGAGGAGTCGATTTTACTTTACCGACTAAATTTCAAGCAAATTTAAAACTCTGTTTTTGAGTGTATACTCGAAAATCTGGTTTTCCATCCGAAAACCGAGCGTTCAGGGGTTCAATTCCTTTAGGGAAAGCAAAACCTGACGCTCTGTAGAGTACAACCTCATATTTAAGTAATTTCGCTAGTTTTGTGAAAAATTTCAACAAAATTCATCGTAATCTGCTTTTGAATGTTCGTAGAGCCTCATTTTGGGAAGTTCATCTCTTTTTTTTATTTTTCTGTTAAAAAAGTCTAAGTAGGGTTTCGAGCGCGGAGAAGTTCGACGCACTACGCAAAGCAGTACCCCGTTGGCGATTTTAGAGCACATCAGACCGTAAAATCATCTTTCTTTTCCCCTCGGTTCCAAAAACTTTGTTAAAATTTCAACTAGAGAGCATTCGTAACAACCTTTCGAAAAAGATAGAAAAGTATGAGCTTAACATTGATGGAAAGAAATTAAGAAAGAACTTTCTCCTTAGATGATCTGAATGAGCGCAAATGCGCCGGTGGCGACAAGAGGAACGACTGCTGTTGAGTATTAATAACCAGCGCATCTCTTAGGCAGGCGCTTTACTCCTCGAGGAGTATAGCATGGCGACGATTGATACGCATCAAATACGTGTGAAGCGACGATTTTTGTCACCGATATTGGCGATCGCCAATCGCTAATATCGGCGACTGTACATACAGTCGATGTCAATTACGTACCCCCTTTCGCATGGGAACTACGCACGCGCAAAGCAAGGGTCCTGCATGCGGACCTCCAATCGATAAGGCCCACTTGAATGCTTGAGTCACACGCGCGCGAAAGTGGCGCGACGCTCACTGCATTTACGGAAAAGGGAGCACGTGATTGACACGGACTGTACTTATGATGAGAAACAAGTTACGACACGTCAAATCGATGCATATGAAACGTGCAGTCGCCGGAAACTGGCGATCGCGAACCTCTACGACTGGCAATCGCCAATCGCCAATGTTGGCGACCCCACGTTGTGACCCAACACCCTCTACCTAACAATTTGCTTTAGAAATGTTAGAAAGTGTGCATCGTTTTGATATCGTAGCTTAGAAATATAACTTCAACTCCTTCATCAAAACTCTTTACTCTAATGTTTGTATGATCTGCGCATTATTTATTTGAATAAATTTCAACATTTACTAGTTGGTATACGACAAATCCGATAACTCTTCAATCTGTTTGTATATTATGTCCTACGCAATCTGTAAATTGTTAGGTAGGATAAACTGTTCAATAATAGTCAGTTATTACATATTTATCGTGTTCTACTATATTTCATATTCTTTCTACGCTTTATATAGCTTGATTATTGCGAAAATGCTATTTGCTTCATACAAAATTGATCAGAGTGCTAGTATATACGAAGTTGGCCATTGACATTTCACTCTTACGATTGTATAGATTGAGCCCATCCCCCTTCCCCCCTCCCTCCTTCCCACTACCGTTGCCCTCCCGATGCTGCAGTTGTGATGTACATGAAGTGTTAAATTATACAAGATATTACTTCTAGATATCGAAATAAGAGCTTTGTAAGGAGAATTTTTCTGGGCGAGACTGCCTCCGTTTTTCTCAAAGTAAGATTCAAATCAAATGTTCTCAGGTTATAAAACCTCTGATTAAAAGATGCTGCCTAAAAAAGCAGCAGTAAATCCTTGTCTCATTCCCCACCCTCTCCCAAAATTTTTTCTCCAGCCGCCATTTGTAGTAGATATAAGCCAAAAGTATATGGGGGCACTTTTGAGCATTTTCTTCGTAAAGATCAAACATGATAAGGTTTTATGTTTTTCCGAATTTTTTCTCCAAAAGTTGGCTTGTAAATGATTGAACGGGATAGGGGAAAACATCTGGAAACGGTGTACAGTGCTGCCCGACTTTTTTATGCACAGCTGCTAACTCTTGTCGGAATCTGCAATGCACTCACATTCAGCATGATCAATTTTTTCATATGGAAGCACGATCATATATCTCTACTACATTTCATCTGACTGGGATTTTCTACTATAAAGAGCAAAAATGAGTACAGAATCGTTAATTCTCAGTTCTTCTCTATGATTGCAACATTTGAAATAAGAAAGTAATTCGTCACAAAAAAAGCTTTAGCTACGGCGAAGAAGGATGAAATTTGGCTCAACAGTTTATTTTGTGATAGTGATTGTTCTTCTAAATTATCCACCGGCTCAAAAGGCATCATCACACTCCTAGAAATCTTTGAAGGAGAAAAGAAAAGATTATGGAAAAGTTTTCTAGATTTTGCCTGATAGCATTTGTTGATTGATCTGTGCATGAAACTAAGGTGTTAAGGAAAGGTTTATCTTTTGGTAAGTGTAGAAGCGTAGACTGGGTCTTTCCAGCGCAATGCATTTCTTCTATTAGCGATAAATGACAGTCACTGACAGTATATGGAACATTTGCGTCATATATGTTTAGTTTTTCTTTTATGGAATAGTAGCCGCTTTCTGTACTCTTCTTCAACTTCTTTTTTCTTTCTCACTCACATTATCTCACCATCTCTATAGTTCTACATCATGTTATTCCAATGAAGGCTGAGTACTGGTAAAAGCAACAAGCGAAGTATAAAGAGTAGATTTGGGTTATGGAGTGGATGAAAAAATTCGTTTGGAGGTATTGCACATCCATCCGACCTGGTGTGATCGAGCTTTCGAATATGTCAGCTATAACTACTCAATACATTCAACTTAGATATGCAGTAATATGAATCACCCACCACCCATTACTGTATGATTGCTGTAGTAAATTGCAGTTGTCATCTCAAATCAACTGTTAGTAGGATAAAATAATATTTTAGAAATTCTGTGATGGCATTGAATTGAGGGCTCCATTTAGCCTCAAAAAGCAACCTTATGATTGCTGTAGGAAATTGCAGTTGTCGTCTCAAATCAACTGTTAGTAGGATAAAATAATATTTTAGAAATTCTGTGATGGCATTGAATTGAGGGCTCCATTTAGCCTCAAAAAGCAACCTGTGGCATTCATCAAGGAACCCAGTGGGTTCCGGAACTCATTGGGTGCTTAAAAGCAGTGTCCGGGCAAAAATTCGATCTTGAGGTTTTTGCTTATCCGGGCCTATTCTCTATGCTGACCGAAAATCCACACTGGAGAGCGCGAATACAGCGAAAAAGGGGTCTAACACATGAAGAAAATGAGCATGTGGGCAGGGTCCTCCCCACTGTGAATTCACTTCCGGAGCCATCTTCTGGTTCCGGTTTCACTATCCCAGCTTCCGGAGCCATCTTCTGGTTCCGGTTTCAAGTCAATCGTTCGCGCTTGATAGGTGGCGATGTCCGGGTGGCTAATAGATTCGAGAAGATGAGTCCGCAAGCTGAGAGCGTGAATTAACGGTGGGGAAGATCCCGCCCACCTACTGTTTCCCTATTGCGTTAAAGACCTTCTTCGCCCCTTTTCGCTCTCTTCATTGTGGATTTTCAGATTCAGCACAGCGAATAGGCCTGGCTAAGCACAAAATCTCAAAACGAGTTTTTGCCCGGACATTGTAACACTGTAATTAACCCACGAGGTCGGTATTCACGAAGCTAGTGGATTCCGGAACCCAGCCACTACCATTGTTTACGAACGAACCTATTGGGTTGGCACCCAAAAGGCGAGCATACTGCTGTTCGCTCACAAAACAAGTTACCCAGTTCTCGTGGGTTGCGGAACCTACTGGGCGCTGTGTTGGCGCACCCAAGCATGGTGCAAATTCTTTAATGGGATTGATGCATGTGAACTATTATAAGCAGGTGTTACTACTAGTAACACTTATACATTGGGAACACTTTCCATATCTTTTATGACTGATAGTGATTTTGTTGGATAAATTTTGATAAGATATTTTACTGAGATGTAGGACTAGCTCAACTTAGTGCCAGTCACGTTATCATTCTTAAAAGTCGCAAACAAGCTTTTCAGCGGTAATTTTTGCGTCTTACTGTAAAGAGCCTAAGCACTTGCCGATGTCTGCTCTTGCTGTTTTAGAATTTGTCTGATACTGCTGCGACTACAGAGGGAGCCTCATATAGGAAGCAGAGCGTTTGCATACATTCTGTTTATGTATGGTTATCTATGTTTGTCCATGTTTGTTTTTGTTCATTTATTACGCAGATCACTAAGTAAGTTTTTGTCCCTAATCCGATCAAGTTGGCAGACAGTCCAGAAAAAGAAGAAGAAAACGCCATTTTTAATCATAATTGTTCTTGATTTTGTGGAGTAAAAATCAATGGGAAGGGAACAAGAGTTATCATGGTATTTACGCATTAACTGCATTACAGAAGAGCCTTATCGATAATCCTGCACATTCCAATATAAGAAAAACGTACTCCCCTTACCATTCGCGCGTCCTCGCACAAGAAATATAAATGGACAAAAGGACTTAAGCGCTTTATGCGAATATGCACCTTGTCACTGATGATAAAAATTCCGTTTGAAAATAGGAGTTTGAAAAAAGGACGTAGATTTACTTGTCATCTATAGCAAAAGCATTTATAGAATAAAACTTAGCTATTTGCACGAGACAATTGATTTATGCAGACACGTGAATGTCAGCTATGTCGTGCAATCTTCGAAAAATGTGGCTAATATCTTCCCTATGAGGAAGAAGCAACTTTGAACTTTACTTGTGCGAAAAAAAGGGTATGGTCGTCTCCGCGACTCGTATAGAAGCAGATTGCGGACTTCTCCTGATTTCAAGATAAACTTTTTAGTAGTTCTACACATCAGAAGATGCGTCTCAACGAGCTAAATGAAAGGTACCTTCGGTTTCGAATTCGTCCATTTTAAAGTGAGATATGACAATTCGACGCAGGTTCCGGCGTACTCCAGTGATGTGCGGTGCACTCCATTGCTCTCCTCCACACTAAGCGCACTCCAATGCACTCTGCTGCACCCTGCGCACGGCACGCATTCTGACGCACTCCGCCGGAGTGCAGCGAATTTTCAATAAATTATGAGCCAAAGTTTCTCTGGGTCCCTAACCCCGAAATTTCAGAAAAAGGGGGGCGGGGAGGCAGCCGCACCCCCAGGGAGATTTGTTTTACAAGACTAATTTCTAAAAAATTTTTAAGGATTAATTTAATTATTCACAATTAAAAACAAGTCACTTGCACATTTTTATAACGCATTTAAGTAATTTTGAAAAATTTCGCGACCCATTCTCGGGGTAGCACTGCAAGGAAGTAAGTGAGCGTACGGTTACCATATCATGGACGGGGGGGGGGGAGCGGCAGATAGAATGGGACAGGGACAGGGAAGTGATGCGTAGAAGTGGGATGAAAAGTCGAATGGTAACATGTTACGTTGACAAGGACCCAGCGGAGCCGTGTACTTAGGTAATTTTTTTACGAGACTGCGAAAAACCTCACGTAAAAGCGGTAACCGATAACCAATCTTGTTTTCGAGGAGATCCTTTTTTAGGTCCATTTTTATTATTTTTATCATTGTGGCAAGGGTGTGCACCGTTTTCGGAGCAGGGCTCGGCACGAGGTGGCTTACAAGCAAGCTGGATATCGTTTTTGGGACGAAAAGCAAAGGGGGTTTCGTTACGGCGACCTTTTTTTTAGTCGACGTTTCGTTTTTTTGGGGGATTTTGGGGAATTTTTCAGGTTTTTAGAGGAAATTTGGTTGAGGGTCAAAGAGGACTTCGTAAAAATTCCCAAAAGTCAAGAGGGACTTCGTTTTTTCCATTTTCATCTAGCCACCTCGTGCCGAGCCCTGTTTCGGAGAGATAGTTCAAGGAAGTAGAGTGAATAACTATAAGTCCGTAGTGCTCTAAGTCGGAACTAACCTATCAATTTACTTACTGACTCTGAGCGAACTGGGAAAAAGGCAAGAAAATAAAAGTAGAACGTTTATAAAATGCGCACACTTCTGACCCTTAACGTGTCTTCAGCTCTAAAGCTTTCGACCGCCTTTAAGCTAACATTCTGAAAAGCAAGAACAGATTAACAGTATAGAGTGAGTCAACAGCATACTGTAAGCTTCCACAGCAAGGAACATTGTACACTCGGTGTTTAGCTCCATGCTGTAAACATAATTGTAAACTGATGTCGGCTTTACGAAATGGAACCTAACAGCGGCGAAAAACACTAAAGCAGCAAGCTATTGACGATCATAAACTTTGGTTTTTGGGACACTTTCTATTCAGGTTTTATCTATCTCTGTCGTTATTTATCTTCCGCGTTGAATCGAACTTCCAATTCTTGTTCACCATAGAGTTATGTAATGCAACTTTGCAAACTACCAGTAATGAGTAATTGAAATGATCTATATATCTTGCGCAGAGTCTTGGATCAGAAAATGCCACCCCAAGATTTATGCACAGCAACGAAGAAACTGCACTTGATGAAAATGCTGGTGCTGTAATAACATGACTACGCAACAACTTTCAACTTCCTTAATTTAAAGCGTAAGTATTTCGATTATTTCCTCGGCGGGCTGTACGTGCTACATTGCGTTTGGCTGCTGGATGGCGTGTATAGCGTGGGCTTTCGCGGAAACTTGGAGCACTGAGCAGGGAATTACGTCGACGTGCTCGATTAATCCATGGTGCAATCCGCAGGGAATTACGTCGAGGTGCTATATTACTCCATGCAGGCGCATTCCCCAGGGAATTACGTCGTCGAAATGCTGGATGATTATTCCTTGCAGGTGCTCTCCCGGGATGCTGTGCAGAAGCTCCTGTAACCTTTCAGAAATATTTTAGCAACCTCATTAGGACAAAATCTCACCGAAGGCAGGTGCATACGCACCACACATTTTATTTTTAGTGCTTCCTAACCGAAAATATTTTTGCAACCTCATGAAGACAAAAACCCACTTGCAGATTGGAGAAGGTAGTTTAGTGCTCCGCGAGCAAAATCACCCGCTTGTCGTTTATTCCTGCTGGACATTCTCTCAGCTCCTGTGAGCGAAAATATTTTCGCAAATTTATCATGACAGAACTCACCAGCGCAGATGAACAGGGCCATAAGTGCCTAGAATTAAAACGGTTCTGGGTGAATAAAGCAAGAAAGAAGCAGGTTGAATTTCTTACCACTAAAAAATACCAGATGTTTGCTCCTGTTGCTTTCATCTAGAAATGACCGTGTTACATACATATTTGCCTCACATTCAACTCACTAACTGAATGCCATTCGACTCAATCGCAGAGTTCACGCGATTTGATCGTTGCGATTCGATCGCGACAAGACAACTGTTTCGAGTTCATTGCATGCCGATCAGCTTGCATTTCGGTTGTGATATTTTTCCATCCCGAGATTTCTGAATGTAAAATGAAAAATGAATGAAAATCGCGGCGATTGAATCGCGACGAACAAATCGCATGAACTCTGTCGGGGGCCTAAGGGTGAGATGCATCTATTTGGCTGTTGACTAAGCTTGGAAACTTTCTTTTTGAATTTTTTTTCCAACATGTAAGCTTTGACTGAAGCTACAAGTGCAGCTAGCAAGCTAGCATTCGCTGAATTATGACCTCGTGATGAGGGTTACGGCAGATAAACGGTAAAATCGAAAATTTTTTGGATTATCACAGATGTGGCTGGAATTTGACATAGGGGGATTCGACATGCTGTGTATGAAAATAAAACTAAATTTGCGTGGTGAGGCCTTCTTGTAAGGCTACGGTAGGTTTACGGTATGGGTTTTTCCAAGAAGGGGGTCAATCGAATTTAACGGTTTTTGTGTTCAGTAAGTTGAGCATCCCTCTTTGAAATCTTTTTAAAAATTCAAGCTAAAATTTCGGACACACCAAAAGTTTTCTCTGAATGCGTGTCCAACCTGCAATTGAAACAATTTTTTTCGCCCCCCCCCCTCTACGAACGGTATCCTGGATTCGCCACTGACTGAACGGGATTTGTGAGTGGGATCAAATGACAAAATTTTTGGATCAACCTAACTAGGTTCTTTTGTAAATTTTGCAGCCAGTTTTATTCCACACTTACTTGATATTATTCAAAAACAAAATTTTTCAAAGCTAACACTTTAGGCTTGTACTTCCATAAATTTGTAGCCAATTAGTAAGGCGACAGCTCAACAGGATTTGTGAAGCATGGAAATTTTTCGTTTTTCCGATTTATAACCGAGAATAATGTCCGATATGGAACTTTTATGCGTCAGCAAGTTGAGATATTGTAGGGTTTTTTCGGGTAGGGCAGTTAAAATTCAGATGTCTAAAAATCCTATGGAACAAACTTGTGCAAATTTTTGCGTATTATAAGTGAGGACGGTCTGCTGCGCTCTCTCAAAAGATAAAGCAAACCACATTCCAAGAGCAAAAAATATTGATGATCGCGTTAAAAGTTGGAAGGGAAAAGAATTATGAGATATCCTAATAAGGGAACACTTATGAGCGAGAGTTTCCCATAACTTTCACTTATTTTTGTCGACTACGGTCTCCAAATCACAATAATCGCTTGTTTGCAATAGAACTAACGGTTCTATCATGAACAAAACTTTATTGAAGTCTGGATTTGGGGTGCTTGAGGTGTATGATGATGATGCCTGGGGATAATACGATCTTTTCCACGCTTCAAGCTTGGAGAAATACCGTCCCCGTTAAGGATGAGCGCGCCGAGAAACCCAAGCGTCTCGGCTCGCGAAGGCCTGGGCTGCGCCAACCGTGACGCTCAAATTGAAGAACCCTCTGTCTATAAAAAGGAGTTAGAGTGGTACAAATGTAATAGATGATTATCTACATGGTACTTAGAGTTGTATTAATAAATTGGATCAGTGTGGGGTCGCAAAAGCGCTGTACAACAAAAAAATGGTTGCTTTCCAACTTTGGCATCTATTTATACAGCGTGCGTAAACCGCTATTCAATATGGCTGTGATAAGTCGCATACATTTCGACGCCTTTTTTTCCGAGATTGCGCTTATTAGATATTTTTCAGTTGGAAACAAATAAAACAGCGGAATAACAACGACAAAACGGCAAAACGCATCTGCTGCACGCATTAAAAACGTGTTCGAGGCAAAAAATTGATAAGAAAGATATAAACTTTGCGATCAATTCCCTAGTCTCTTTCTTCAAAAAATGTACAGTGTTTGAAAGGTGGCAAATATTTGAGGATTTTTTCAATGTTCTTCGTTCAATATTCTCAGCGAAAAGCAGTTTTTAATCTAAAACCTAACAAGGCCCTTGGCATCAAGACTGGAAATCGTTTTGAAGGACTCACGCAAGCACTCTTTCTTGTTCAACTTTGTCTCATTATCTGTCATCTATTCAAAAAACTTGGCAACACGTAAAACAACAATTTGGATTTGTACTAGGTTAGTTCGAGAGTTTGTGCCATTTTTCAATCCATTGGATTTACAATAAAAACCATATATTCGCCAATGTTCAACTTGCAGCTTTCCTCCTTTTTACAGTGACTATAAATCCCCATGATTTCTTTTTTAGTCCTCAATAAATCATAATGATCTTGAACCGCTTTTGCAATTTACATTTTAGGCTTTCAGAGGGCTTTTATGATTGACGGATAGAGCAAACGTCTCGAATTATATTAGGTTGTCCCGAAAGTTTTGTCGGTTTTTTCAAACCACCATAAAACCACGCACAGTGAAGATATGAATGAGTTTTAAAGTGTTGATGCAACTCCTTCTCTTTTTTACGGTTACATTTTCGAACCGCAATCCTGTATGCTTCTTTTGATAATTGCCAAAATTCTTCACCCGCCATTTTTATCTGCTTAAAGTTAGGCTATTTTTCAATAATTTCATTCCAAAGTTTCGGAGAGGGTTGAATATGGATCAAATAACTTTACGGAGATATTTTTTGATTCTCCTAATCTGCTGTGTTTAGCTCAAATAAATTATTTCTTCGGAGGCCTTGATTTTCAGCAAAGTCATGAAAAACGCAACTGCAGCAAAAGCAAGAAAACTTTTGAAGTTTTTGCGAATTCAAACTTGATTGTTATTAAACAAGTTTGATTTGCTTCAAAAATCAGCTTTTTGGAATTTTCGGTACTTTTACGTAGTAAACCTATTTAAAAAGCCGCGGTTTTTACTGAATAAATAATCATAACGGACTTAATAAACAAGGCCCACTTAATCTAAAACAAGTACAATGTAGCCAAAGGTTTGCTCTACATAACAGTTACCAGCGCTCCTTGAAAATATCAGTATAAAAATTTTGAAAATTCAGGAAAAATTTGGCGCTACTGCGGAGGTGCTCAAAAAGCCATGGCGATAACATCACAAAGACGAGGTAGATCAGAAAACAAATAAAGCTGTAAGAAAGAGTATAAAAATCTGAATAGAATTGCACTATTTCGTCCATGGAATGGCTTTCTGTGAGTTTGGGTGAGCGATGAAAAAAACCGACAAAACTTTCGGGAAAACCTAATACTTTCTTCAAAACTTTCGCGCTGCTTTAAGCGCGATGCTAAATACAGTTTTCCTTTGCGTTCAATCAAATATCTGGTATGACCAAAAATATGAAACACGGCTTTCAAAGTAGTAAGCTGTCGTTTACCTTACAAAAAAATGCGTGATGGTAATATTAGGTCATCCCAAAAGTTTTTTCGTATTCGTACCTTCAAAATGATACTTCTCAAAAAGGCATCTAGAAGGATGCAATTTTGTGGGAGTATTCTTGAGTGAGTAAGCTATATAATGCGAAGAACATAGACTCATTATAGGCCAAGTTAGAAATTGAGCCCTTTATTTTTTTTCGATTTCTGGCCGCCAGAAAAACGCAGCAAGTGTATCTATAAATGTCTGATGGGGAAAGTATATGCGTGAGCAAGTGGGAACTTTGCAGAGTGTTTCTGGACTAAGATACGATAATTTTTGTTTTGCCGGAATTTTGAATTTTTTCCATTTTGTCTTGAAATTCGATGCGGATCAAGCCTAATACGAAATTTCAAAAGCCATATTGCAGAGCTTGCTTTAATCTTTCGAATGGTACTCCGCTTCTCATCAGAAGTCTAAGAAAAGCAGACTTATGCTGGTGAAAAGTCTGATACGAAAAAACTTTTGGGATGACCTAATACTTCGCAAGTCCAAATCTCTAGCGAATTTGAGCGATGCGACCGCCTATCACACACAAAAGTAAACAATTGAGGATTTTACGCTGGAAAATTTTGAGAGTTATGCTGGCCTATATTATGTGCTGTAATGCAAAATGTATGCTTTACTCGCTTGTCATCAAAACAACTTTGGCACCCACAAATGAAAGGCCAAATTTGTCGCGGTAAAACGTGTTTTTGGAATTTTGCCAATTATAATAGGTACTACGAAACAAATTCACTTGCAAATAGATGAGGGGAGCTTATTTATGACTAACGAGGGAAAGTTCCCAAGTCGGCTCGGCCCACCCGGATAGGTCATATATCACCGTAAAGGGCTTGAAACGCTGATCCCAAATCTGTTTTCCTTTTCTGCGGAACAACTCTCCGAGAGAAATTGTGAGCGTTTAAAGGTCTAAATTTGTCATGTTTTGAGTGGCTTAAAATTGGCGAAACCTGTACAATAACACATAAAAGTAATTTATCAGTTTTGTATCAAGTATACTGATTACAAGGGGCGGAACACAGATAATGAAATTCGTTAGGTGTTGTTTTACAGCTTCTAACTGATTTGAAGCCACTTTGAACATGACAAATTTAGACATATAAACGCCCATAACTTCTTTCGGAGTGTTGTTCCGCAGAAAAGGAAAACAGATTTGGAATTAGCGTTTCAAGCCCGTTACGGTGATATATGACTCATCAGGGTTGGCCGAGCTGACTTTGGAACTTCCCCTTGTGAGCATCGACATAGAGCACGGAACCAGCTGGGTGACACATATTGTAAAATATCGATTGGCTGTCAAATATTGAAATATTCAAATGAATAGAAGGCGGAAAATCTACGGTTGTACTTCCCAAGTTAAGTAGTGTAGAAATAAACACTTACGCGGGAACAGCTCAACATCATTTTAGCAGAGGCATGAAAATTTTCAATTTTTTCATGTCTAGCCAAGGAAAAATTACACCACCTACCTGCGCGTATGAATGCTTGTTGAAGGATGTATGTCCGTGAGCAAGTTGGGGTCCATAATTTTTGACCGAGATACGAATTTCTTCGATTTT